CAAAAGAAGAAGGAAAATAATAAAATGGGAACAACTTTTGTCGGAGGCCTGTGCTGCTGGCCTGAGCTTGTCCTGGTTGTAGCATATATCCCGGACGTTCTTCCTATGAGTCCAAAAATTCTTTGGTTGCAGAGCAAAAATGCTGACAGAGACTCACCATGCACATGAGGTATGGTGCCTCGAAGGCAACTCGTTTTGCAAAGCCTCCATGCTATTTTGGCTGGAACTGCGCCACTCTGAGGTCACCGCGCCATGTGAACACGCGCCACCACCAGATATCTCATGCTTTTCTCTTAACTCTTGCCCATGCAGGCTCCGAGTCATGCTAGTAGCGCAACATTTAGCTCACACAGGTACAACGTGTTCACGTATGTCCATACCCGCTCGCATCGACCTGCATATCGATCACTGTTTTTGAAACCGGACAGTGTCGCCTGACTGCATTAGTTGGAAATTAGAACGATTTTTGCAGCCTGCTATTTCGGGTCGCGGTTTCACTCACACCATAGTGCTCTCTCTAGCGAGCACTTTTTCCTACTAAGGGTTCCCAATATAGAAACGGTTGTCTTATTGCCCCGTTCGAATGAGAGCAATCGTCCACCGTGAGCGCTCGATAGACTCAAGAATTTGATTGCTACATTCTAGTCCTATTTTATCATGATTCTCTGGGCAATCCCAATTGCCATAGTTCTGCGCATAAATCGATGGCACTATTAAGTGGCAGGTAAAACGGTGAAGATAATATTTTTACCGTGTTCACAATATAGCGTACGCTGACCATCATGATAAACTTACCATCCGTGAAAAAATCCTCGCGGAAAGCCTACCAAGACCACAGAAAACTTTTCTCCCATACAAGTCACGAATAGTTGCTTCATTTGGATTTTGCGCGGACAGTGAGGACGTAACTATTGTTCATGTATTCTTGGGATTACTTCCAACACGTGCAAACCAGACTTTTTGACAAAATTTCCGCCACCATCACGGAGACATCATTGAGATATGAATTCCGCGCCCCGGCCGACCTCGAGTACGTTCAAACAACCTCCAGCAAAAGTTTAGCAGCATGGAAAGATCTCAAGTGTTCAGATAAATATCACTGAATGCTAAAACTTTACATGGAAATCCCTCTCCTCCGGAATGTGCTTTCAGATATATTTGGTGTGCCTATTGCTCCCCATCACTTGTATGCAATCCAACCATTCGAACGAACTGGCATCAGTTTGCCTTTTCCAATGCAGACTCCTATGCCCTCAGTGATATTGAATGTCAGCGCGCATTGTTTTTGTCTGGCATACCTGCGCACGTACATTCGGATTATGGTTCATCATCCTCACCACACGATACATTCATATTCTCGCGTGGCACAGGAGTTTGCACCAGCCAAATAACTGCTCCTAATCACCACAGGAACAGGCAGGTTGAATGTCGGAGCAGGACACACTGGAGTGCAGTCGGTCACCCCTTCTTTTGTGCACATCAAACTGCCTACCCACTCCGGGACCTGTTTTGTTGGGAAGAATTAACAGTGACTTAAAATGTGAAACAACCGTTGAGGAAATCTAACTTATAAAAACAATCCACCCTACGTCATAAGGCACTGATCCCTCCGCCAACTTGCAATTAATGATACCCGCACATTTTTAAACGCGCATCCCATCTAGTAATAAGGCAATAACCCTCCGCCAACGTGCAATTAATGATACCCGCACATTTTTAAACGCGCATCCCATCTAGTAAAGGAAACAAATGCTCATACGCCTTGTCCACCTGGCTCGGAAGTGGCTCCGCTCGATTACGTCAAAGGTAGCGTCGATCACACCGCAGTTTGACCTCCTTACACGGGCGACGCACCTGCATATCAAAAAACATATGGCTATGGCACGTCTGATTTAGCCAGGCTCCAGTAAAGCACATTACACTACATTTAAGGAAACCAAGAAGCTTTACCAAACTATGGATTGCACCTTTCTGCATGGCGAGACCATATCTGTAACAGCCTTTCGACAAAACCCGGTGACTGACAAGGAGCTCCACTATTTCCTTTCTTGATCACCTTCATCAGTGATGGTATAAAAAGACGAATGTGGGATGGTCTATTCGATAAGCGTATTTTCTCAGTTTGATTGTCGGTTTGACATCGATGTTTAACCCTTCAGAATGTATTCCCTCTTCAAAACAACCACTAGAGGTGCACACAATCAGATCGAAAACACATGCACAGTGCCCCATACATAAAGTGCCTTGACAACATCCCGGAAATTCTGGCGTTCACTGGATGCGTATCGGCATCCAACATCCCGTAACTGCTGGATCATGATTGGCTGTTGGATTCAAATTTTCGGCAAATCAGAGCTCGCCTAGGCGCTGACCGACAAGGGATCGGACTTCTGGCTAACCACGTGAGTGATGGGATTCTCTACCTTAACAGACTAACTGTGAACGGTAAAGTGGTATCGCTCCGGAATTCCGCTTATTAGCCTTCAAACTCTTGGCGTGCAAGTCGTTGTAAATGAGAACCTTGTTGATCCAGTGTACGCAAACGACCTTGACCGGCTACTGCACAAACTTAGGTCTCACGGGATTCAAGGGAAAATTCTACACTGGACATAGTCGTTCCTATCAGACAGAACATCCCGAGTGAATGTAGGCTCGACCTACTGCGCTCCAACGCTGGCTTTCATTGGAATTCTTCAAGGCTCCATTTTGGGACCACTGGTGCTTCTGATATACGTCAACGTTTTCCCAGACGTCCTATCAAATCCATGTCTGCTTTTTGCGGACGACGTGAAATCCTGGAGTTCAAATGCCGGTGACTTCCAAATGGATGTAGACGCTGCAAAGCAGTGGTCGTTGGACTGGAGCCTTCTTCTGAATGACGAAAATTGCGTCCGTATTTCACTCGAAGGAGACTCAGCGAACGCCTATGTCGTGCATGGTGAGAATATCCCAGGGGATATCGTGAGGATGGATGCCAAAAAGAATTTGGGTGTCTGGTTCTCTTCAAACAGGCCCTTCCCATTACACCATCAGAAGTCGGTCCAAAGGGCATTTGCCGTTCTGTGGATGATTCGACGCATCTCCAGCATTTTTCGAATGAACTCGAATACTGTCTTGACCCTACTTCAAACCGCTTCTTGAATATGTCAACCAAGTTGTCCACGCGGGATGCACGGAGGACGTAACCCTCATCGAGTTTGTCCAGCGAGCTTCTACGAAAATGGTTGCCGGCCCTAAATCCATGAACTATGAAGGAAAAGAGTGGGTGAGGGAGGGGACCTAGTGCTGGCCTATGTCAAGCATCATGAGGTGCCTACACCTCCAACCGTTCAATCAGACAATCTGGAAAGAAACTGACAGCACGAACGCCGCTGACATCGACTAGCTGCCATTTCTTACAACGTCTCCAACCAAGCACAGACGGGGTCACGGAGACCCCAACAGCCACTTTGGGTCGACGACGCGTAGCAAAAGAGGATTGAAGACCCAAGTACGGTTGCTGAACTGACCTTCCAATCAATTTCTGCTCGCTTCCGTCTGTGGGCCCCTTATAATCTGGAATCCGCTGTTGCTGGTTCTGCTGGAGTGGGTATATTTCTTAGCTACCGAATTGAAGTCTGGTTGGATGGTTGCCCGTTGATAGTCACATCTGTGCTTCGTTCTGTGAGAGCATCCCGTAAACAATAACTGCTGCCTGTTCATTGTACCTGCTTACCCGATTGCAGTTCTGATGCACTGAAAGACAGCTCTTACGACGCATTGAGCGCCTCATTACGGTGAGTTAGGAGCTCAGATATTGTAATTGCCGAAGATATGAATACACAACTTGGTGGACTTGGCGCTACTGTGACTCAATTGGGTGGTCATCTAAGACGAGTCGAGACGCTTAGATGCACATCAGCCGAACGCCTGTTTCATTCATGTGCTGACCATAGACTTTCTGTACAGCAGGGGGATGGCTCAGTGGCTAGAGTGCGAATCTGCTGACCGGAAGGCCCGTGGTTTGAACCCGACCTCTGCCTCTCGACTTCTCCCGTCTAGGCTTGGGCTACTTGGAAGTATCCAAGCCCACGTGCTTCCTTCTTCTGGTGTGGCAGTTAGAAACCGAAAGGATTCTGCAGCTGAACGACCAACTTCCAAGGCGACCGAAGCCGTTTGGCCACATGGTGCCCACCACATGCGAGCCAAAATCCAACGCAGATGGACCATCGCTCTAAGCCATGGGTGGAGTGGGTTAGTTACTAACTGTCGCTCTTCTTTCACACCCGCGGGGGTTTGGGTTACATGTTTGTTCGTTGCTGCTTTTAGTTGCACTTTTCAGGTGAACAAAACTTTAGTGGCTGGGGCCACCACGCTCCGGTGCACGATATGTGAACTGAACTGAACTGAACTGAGCACGATCATATCTGACGTCTGTCCACGAAAGATTGCCCTATGCTGTAGACATTCTAGGTCGCTTATAGTGTGTGGACATTCATTTCGCTTCTGAACTATGGCTCACCAGCGTTCTTTTTGTGCAAAAAAGAAGGATATACAGCTGGAGCTCACACAGGGGCTAACTAGCGGGGTGAAACCAGAACTGCGCAACCTCAGTTACCTCGGCCGATGTTTATTCTTGAACCTGTACACCTCTAAATACTGGCAGGTTCATCTAGACCTGATTTTTGTCTTCAAGGCTGTCTACACCAAGCTACATCATGGGATGGAAATGGTTTTTGTCCTAGCGAAGATGACTCACACAAGAGGGCGCCTCTTCGAACTAGGACAGCTGTAAATGCGACACAATCGTGTCTCTCTACACATCCGTGAAATGGTAGAACGGGTTACTAGAGAGCTTGGCCACGCTATCTTTGGCTACTTCTTTCAAAAAGGCAATGGAAAAACTTCTTTGGTACGATTTAGACAGCTGGAGGCATGGACCAACAACCCGGAGATCATTGTCGTCAAATACTGAGGCCAGCACGATGCCTCCTCACAGGATAGAGCTAACACGAGCCAAATCATCTGCTCTCACCAATCTGAACATGAACCTTTAAGTAGTAGGTTATCTATCTATTTTTCAGAAGGCATGACAGTAATGTACACCAGTGGTAGAATTTCTACAGAAACAGTAGGTCCGATGTGTGCATGCGCGGATATAAAGCGATCTTCAACAATGGCGCCTAGATTCAGATTCATTTGATAACTTCAAGTTGATTGAGATGTGGGTCCTGCTCTCTATGGTGCTAGGTCAAAGGGATTAAGGTGAGTGTCACATGTGCCTAAAGATATTTTTGCTTTCATTTGCTTTACAGATTGTCCGATTGGCTTCTTGGCGGTGCAAGCCCAAGTAGGCGGTTGCGAGTACTTGAATCAGAGTAGAAAATTTTGACTTGCAAGTAAGATGTCCAACTAAACCTCGTTGCGTACATTTGTTATTTGGTGCTCGATTTCTTGACAGATCTTCACATAGCCCTGTACCCTCCTTCAACCACCTGATGTATTCCTTGTGACAGCATCGCTTCACCGTTTTTCCGTTACTTTGCCTGGTGCTTGTCTGAAAACCTAATGGTCGGGCGTCAGACTCCTCTTAGTTGCGGTGGAAATATGGTAACTACTTAACTCACACAAAATTAGTGAAGGAAGCACCAATCAAAACCAGTGCCAGCTGCTCTCCTGCGGAATAGCGCGGTCTGTGAGGTGGAGGTGGTTTAGCTTGCCAGAAGATCGTGAAGGAGATCACGAAAATTTTGGGTGCTGTTGGCTTGCTAAGACCATTCACCGTAGCTTGGCCGGATTTAGTTGTGGGTACTCACCGCAGTTTTGGTAGACCAGCTGAGTCCTCCTCCCTGCCAATCACCTTGTTTCCAGTTTAGGGTTTTCAAGACCACCAGCAGTGAGTCATCAGCACCAACTCTTGTTGTTTACGGTGACAATGTTTAAGCTTAATACACTAGGATTCTCTTGGAATAAAACGAGGGTGAAGCTGAAGTATGGCATTCTATGCTTACAACTCTCTTTTTCTTTAGGTCAGTGCCGGTTATGCATTCAACGTGACGTTTGCCCAGAAAATGATACACACATATCAATCAAGTGCAATTGTCCCTACGTCGGAGCGAACGCTTCTAGCGCTTAATGCTGACTCCAAAATGTCTGTGATTACAGCACAGAAGCGATCATCTGATTTTGCCCTGTCTACTTTGCAAGCTGAGCATGAGCGGAAAGTTAAACAGCTACGGACAGAAAATATGGCACGTACTTTTTAAAACTGATTTTCACCCGTTATTTTTTCTAGGAGCTGGAATCAGACAAGTACAAGTTGATGACTGATTGTGGTGTTCTTAAAATAAAAGTGGACCTGTTGGAAAAGGAGAACGAGGCCGAACGTAACCGGATGCGCGAGTTTGAAGAGCAGATGAATGAAAGATTAGATAAGACGGTTAAAGCGTGCAATGTATCTGAATCAACTCTTCTGTTGGTGAGCATCTTGTCTCGGGTGATGTAATTTAATTTTTATTGAGTGAGCAGTTTAATTGTTCACGTATTTGGCTTTATAGTAAACCATATTGATGTCATTTGTTTTGCTTACACTTTACTGTGTATGGGGCCTAGAGGCAGTTAAATTATATCCCCACGTAGTCATAGCTTCCCGTTTCCACCACTAGTTTGAACCGATGTCTTTATGTGCTGAGATTCAATGTTAAACCGCGAATGGGATGCAGTTTTTTGAGTAAGCGTAAAGCAATGAACGATGCTCTCATAACCGTTTTTCCACCTCGTAACAGAGGAGTTTATCCTGGTTTCCAGGCACAGGTCCCGTAGTTGTGATTTTACTGCGACTTTTCAGGTCACTGAGCAGAACAAAACGATAACTGCATACCACACACGAACCTTTGACCATACCCAGAATTTCTATGAATCAATGACTCAAAAGGTGGTGAAACTGTAGTGTATCATTTAATAAAAGTGTGGATACAGTCTAGGACAGTTGGATCTCGTCTCGGTGCCGCCCCACACCCAATGTCGCTCCAGTGACTTTCTAAGCTGTACTGTAGGATAAGCTCGTGCTAGTCTTAGGGTCCCCTTAACAGGTTTCCAGAGAGCGGAGGTCTGATAAACTGTCGCCTGGTCCCCAAGTTTGTGGTCGAAGGGGGATGACATGTTTCCTAAAAGGGAATGTCTGAAGTGGTTGTACGCTGAGCACCGCTATCTTGCAATAGGGTGCTCCACTGCAACGGCTTAGGTTTATGACCCTAACAGTCCTGGCAGTTTTCCTGCCCATCTACGACCATGAGAAATCCAACGATGTACATAGTCATCTCACCAACAGTTTCGCCTTACTTCACACAGTAAGCAAAAATGTGCTACACAAACATTCGCATCGAGTTAGTTGGTGGTCACCTACCACAAGATAGTCGTGGACTCAATCGGACCATGTGGTCATCAGTTACCGGTAGATAACCTCAGTTAAGGATTGTCCTTCATACTCAACTTGACTCTGATCATGCCATTGTGCTGACCCGGTTAGCACTTCGTTTTCCTCCAGCATTACGCGTGTCAAAGGAGAGCTGTCTCGTTCACCAACTTCGTAAAGCTTTAGTAGCTGGAGAGTATCAGGCTGATCTGGCTAGAAAGCTTCTGGAAACACACAGTCATACATATGACGAACATTGCTTGGAGGTTGAATGGAGTCAGTTGAGTTAAGGAGGCAATACTATCAGCATTCGAAATGTTTGTCCCGCCCATCTGACTCGAATCAATGAACACTGGATATCGTCGAGATTAGCATGTCTTATTGTGGCCAGAAAGGCTATACCAGTAACTAATGACTACGATGGCGCACGCAGATCCTTCAAACACCTGATAATCAGGAGTTCGAATGTCAGAACGCTGGTGAGTTTCGAAGGCCTAGGAGGTAGAGGAGGCTTTCGCCGCATGCAGCATCCGCACCCTGTTTCAACTGATTCGATGTACCGGTCGAAAGAAGGCAGATGTTAGTAAAACAGCATGCGAAAAAGACGGAACGGCAATTCATTCCCTCAGTTACCGTCTTGAACAATGCAATAAACGGTTCAGCTGGTCTTCAGCGCAACCCCTGGAAGAATCCGGTGGGTCCGCCTGGAACATTGACACCAACCCGTCATCAGCAACCGAAATCCAGCGTGAGATATCAATTTATGAAGGCACCTGACCTGGATGTTCTGCAAATGGCGCTCTCCAAAAAAGGTGGCGGAGTCCTGCTGCACAGTCTGACAACCATACTTCAGAAGATTTAGAACGAAAACAGAATACCGGCCGAGTGGAGCTCCTCAACCGTCACCCCAGTTTTCAAAAGGGAAGCAAACACATTATGTGAAAACCATCGTATATCAGCCTGGTATCCGTCATATCGAAGGTACTCTCTGGCATGATTTTGCGCAGGTTGATAGATTATCGAGAGGGAGAGAGATTCGTGAGAATCAAGCTGGATTTCGTCTTAGTGCAGGATGCATTGACCATATCTATACCTTGAAACAAATTCTTGAACAGCGCCACTCCTTCAAACTTCCCACGGCGGTCGTTTTTCCTTGTTTGAAAACTGCCTTTGATTTTGTCGATCGTCAGCAACTTTGGCAGTGTCTGGCGATCAGAAGTTTCCCTTCCCAATTTCTATCCTTCATGAGGGCACTGTATGCGAACTTCTGTGGGCGCGTACGAGCATATGGCAAGCTTTCGCCAAAGTTCACTACCTCCAGTGATGTAAGACAAGGCTGTCCTTCATACATTTCCTCTTCTACTTTGTCATTGATGTGCTGCTAGGAACTTTTCTGCTTGCCTTTGAAAGTTTGGGAGTCGAAATGCTCCCGGGACGTTCCCTCACAAACATTGAGTATGCTAATGATATTGGTCTCCTTGGTTCAGATCCTTCCCGAATGCAAATTAATTTAAGTAACCCAAATAACTCTGCCGCACGGTGTAAAGTGCTGCTACAAGACCAGGTTGGATCAAACCTACACCTCGTTTGCAGGGGATTCAATCGACGTGGTAGATAAATTCGTTTACCTGGGCAGCTGTATTAGTTACGTGGGAGTGGCTGGAACTGAATTTTTAGAATCGGAAAGGCCCGAACAACTTTTGCCGACCTCCGACACCTATGGCACCGACCTGGCACCAGTTTGCCTGTCAAGGGCGATAGATGAATTACTCACACTTCATGTATTACGCCGGTTAGGACGTACTCCACATGCCAGAAGACCGTCTACCTCACAAAGTTCTTTTTGCTCAGTCCTGTGCTGAGTGGAAGCGACCGAGAGGTGGACAGTTTATGCCCTGACAACAAAGTACGAAAACACTAACCAGTAAACCTAGTCGGTTCGGCAAATGTCACCTCTCCGGATGTGGACTTCGGGAGTCATCTCACCAATGGTTGATGACACTGGTAAAAATGACCCAGTCGCGTCATCAGGAGCGCTCATGCGTCAAAGCTATTGCCTTCACTGCGTAGCTATCCGATTCCCGAATTAACTGAACAAATCATCACCTGCAAGGCTGGGATGTATGCCCCACACTGTTCCATTTTCCGGTGATCGAAACTGTTGCAGCTGGAACCAGTATGCCTATGGTACACTGTTTATAGGTGATAAATTGGATTAATTGATCGATTTCCCCCTCCGGATGGTGTTGGCGTACAAGGGGACAGCTGAAAAGTTTTGATGGACCATGAAACTCGGTCTGCATGTGGATCGCACTATCAAGCGATAAATCAAGCTGGATCACACTGTGCTTGGACTTTCTTTCTGAGGTGCTCCATGGAGGTCAGCGATTCGCGAATTCTCGGAAGCCAACTCATCAATCTCTAGCAGGCATAATCCCATAGTATGCTCTGATGGTTCTAATGTCTTCGTGATACGTTCGTTATATTCCACAGCAAAAATGCTAGGCTTCAAGAGGTCATTAAGTTCACTGGTGGCATGAATGCACAACCTAGTAGAATTATGATCGATGAGGCTCAGTTTGGCGGTCGTCTCTGCGTTAATTGAGGCAAGCCTCTGCTGCTGGTGTGTGCTGACCCTTGTTCGCTTGTGTGCAGCGCAGTTTTCCGGAATAATCGACATTGTCTAGCTGAATGGCACACTTCACCAAATCCAATCATTTTCATCGCCATCGACTGTCGTTAAAGTGAATTAATTACCGTTTGTTGTTCGTAGTGGAAACCCTTTGTGTCTGCGTAGTTTTCCGGAATATATGGGTTCAGAAACCAATCGTCATTTTCCTGCCCCAAAGCCTTATTTCGCTTCTATTAACATCGTTCGTTTTAACCCAAGGATTCTGTTGGCTTACATTTTCCGCTTACAATCCCCGTATTTCGCCTTCATCCAGTTTTGTTTTAAGGTTTGCACCTGTGCTTGCCATTTGTCACCAAGCTGTCTGACTCCATAGCTTCGATTGTCGCGTGCTTGACTGCAGAACTGTACGTTTGTTTGCCTCAGAAAAAATCCCAATTTTGCGTATGCCGCTGTCCTAATGGTTCTGACCGCGCCGGTCGTTTGCATTCGTTATATACGTCTGTCGAATCCGGCTTTAGTTCGAACAGCACTGATGGAAATTTCATCCCTGTTGAATTTGGCGCTCTTAAAGAATGTTAACCATTTTCGTCTCTCGGTGCAGCTGATTACGTATCAGAAACTTTCACCTCACTGATCTGTGCAAACATATCCCATTGCCAAGCCATCTATTTGGCAGAGATACAGACAGCGCCAAAACTTAACCTTTTTTTCTCATCTCAAACCTGTCGCAGTGTTGTTCAGCAAACTGTTTCTCCTTGTTCAACCGACCGTCATGTTCTTTCATCACACCGTTTCCCTTTCTTCGGTGTTATCAAACAGAATAGTCTAGTATAGGTTGTTGATCAGTTGGCTGTTGGTCTGTTCTTCGAGCTTGACAATTAATTTTCGCAGTGCGCAATTATGATACCTCCGGGTTTAGTGACAAAACGTTTTGCAAACAGATTGCCAGGCTCGGCGAACAGATCAGTAGTCAACTAATCAACAGTCAGTAAACGCACCCGAGCTACCAGTCTCTCCACATATTTCCAATAGTCTGGTATTGCCCGTCGATAAACTGGGAGTGGCGATCGCTGTATTGGATGTTTTTTCCGACTGGCCTTTTTCGTGGATATCACTTACCCCTCCGTTTCTCACATTTTCATGTTATTCAGAGTGCCCTCTGTTGAGCGGTTCAACAATGCATGTATCTGGTCAGTGGAGCAGGTGGAGCGAAAACAGCTGTTCGTTTGGTTGAGTGTGACGCCCTTTTCTATTCTCCCTTCGAATCGTGGATCACTGGCTCTAATTGTATTCAATAGTCTTTTCACTTCTCCCGTCACACGTCCACCTCAAGTTTACCACCTTCCGGGTTGAATCACATTAGACTTTACTGGCCTTCAAGAAATAATTTCCTTTTCCGTTCTTGAGGGGATTTTGATCGCTTTTCGACTTTCCGAAACTTGAACGCGCAAAGCCTTAGGTAGTTGTTTTAAAGTAATGCTCCCCAAACCCATAATAACCTGGCACATCCCCTACACAATAAAGTCACCCGCCTGGTCGATAATCCGTGGTTACTGGAAACCGACAATCTTTTACACCTCAGTGACATGTAGTCCTTCTGTGTCTGTTCTAACACCACTAACACGGTCAGTGGTTGACAACGCTTGTTCCCATTTCTTGCAGTTCATACTGATCCGCTCGCCTTCTTGAACCCAGCCATTGCCTCCATTTGTCTACCGCTGGCTGTTAGGTCACACTCTTCCCCTTTTAAGTTATTCCCAAAATGAAACTTTCCACCCCTAACCTTCTGCACGTTCTTCTATCCTTGTTTCCCAAAATGATGCAGTAAAAGCCATTTTAGCGTCCTGATTGTTCTACTGGGCGTCGTTTGGGTCCCGAATTTGCCCTTCATGGGGATCTCCCAACATGTGTGTTGAATTTTATATCCAACTACTTGTATCCATGCCATAAGAGTTGTAAATATCAAGCATGACAGGACTGTCATTGAATTGTTTGACTTCAACTTGGCAATCCTTTGTTGTTCTAAAGGCATGAACTGATAACCTACCCTGTAGGATGTGTGGCTTTCGAAAGTGTGGCCTGTGGCAAAAACTTGAGTTTGATGATAAGTACTCCTAGCCGAACATTAGGTATTGACGAACGGTACCTAACTGGCAACCAGTAGTCCACTGTGAGTATGTAGGGTCATAAATTTATGCCCAACGTGTCCAGGTTCAAGAGAGTTTTCTTGTATAGAGAAGTTCGTTTCTGGTTGTATTCCGGTTGTATGTCCATATTATGGTCTTTTTGTCTATTCTAACAGGAATTGGAGCGGCTGCGAGCGGAGTCTTTTGACGCTCGACGTCTCCAGATGGAATTAGAACGAGAAAAGGCGGAGAGCGACGCTAAAGTTGCGAAACTGTCTGCCTTGCTGGATGCCCGTTCTAAGTATGGTGTCATTTGGAATTTACTGGTTTACTGCTTTTTTAGACGGCTGCAAGAGCTTGAAACGTTCGTCACCGAACGAAAGAGTGAATTAGATGAATATAAGGAACTGAAGCTTGCTGTTCAGGTAGGTTTTATTATTTTGGCTCCGTACCCAGTCAAAAAATCTCACTTCATCATAGTTCTTTGAGTACCTATGGTATAATTTATTCGTTGGTCACTTGGTCGAATAACTGACTGAGCATTTTTCCATTCATCCGGTTGAATAAGTCAATAATAAATCGATGTAGTGGAAATGGTCAGAACGAATAAAACAAGGTGCTATAATCAGTGAGCGTATAGAGGTCAGTCTTGAAGCCGCCAAGGGGAGTCGTTTGAGGTACTCTGAATACGATCAGCAGCGCTGAAAACCCGTCCAAAATTTATGCGATTCATAAGGAGTAGATTTCGAAATGAAGACACTCAGTATACGAAGCATGAGCGAAGAGAAACCTATGACGAGAGATAGAAGACTTGCGCTTGCCAAACGATGACCCTGACGTCAGAACCACCGAGGACATAGTCTCTGATACCTATCGTCAAGAGCTTTTGACCGACATTCAACACTAATCCTGTCCATGGGGTGAAGAAGATCTTTACGGTTTATGCTTGATTTGTTTACAGCTTGCCAAACCTGGTGGTTTACTCACTTGGCCTGATGAGGCTTTTTATTAGGCGAAACATTTTAGAACAATTGAATTTTCGGATCATTTGCCACACCTTTTCGAAATAACTCCTGCTACTTCTAACCTCCGATCAGGATTTACAAGCACAAAAGAAAAGCCTCGAAGATCGACTCAAGTTGGAGGAGAATCGTTTACCTGTAAATGAACATATCCACTCGAATCTGAAAAGTGCGGGCTATTTGGCAAAGTTAGAGCTAGAGCATAATCGGGTGAAATCTGCTTACAAGAGCCTGAGTAAAGAACGCGCCGATTGGCTCATCACCAAAGAAGAGAACAGAGACCTCCGTGCACAAGTTGAACAGTTGAAAGTTTGGCGTGAAAGGGCCTTGAATGCAGAAAACGCCTTGGCAGAGAAGCAGGATCTTTATTCACTGAACACTTCTGGTGCTATCAGTCCAGGTCGTGTTCAACGGCTAGAACGCGAAAACCAATTACTGTTGGCGGAACAAGGGGAACTGCGAACAGAGTGAGTTCAGGCACCGATTCAGTTATTCGTAAGTGAGAAGACAGTATGGCTTGTTTCTGAACGTATGTGTTCATTTTACCATTCATTTGACCGTAATTGGGGACGCCATCCCGCAATATTTCACATTTCCTGGAATTTTTCCAGTTTAGAGAGGCCTTCCTTATACCGGGACTAAGTTTTCCATCATCCGAGTCGCGATAACTTCGTTGTGTTTGCATTCGTAGCGTTCATAGCTCAGAACGGCATGTGTTTGAGCCTATATATAACAGAATCCTTCAGACCAGGAGACCAGTGCTTACAACGACTACACGCTCCACCTGGTATTGATATTGAGTATCCTGGGTGAAATTACTGTCTAGACGTACACAACTATACTGTTCTTTAGGTGAATGAGTCGATGCGTTAGTGCGAGTTCTGTGTTTTGAAAAGCCATTTTGGTATGCATGCAAAATGATATCTGACCGGTCGAACAGCATATCGGATGAAATACTCTTCATAGAATATTGTGAGATCTTTATTGACTTCCTGTGAGTTGTATCAGTTCTCATTTCTTTTAATTCCGTCGGTGAACCTTTCGGAATTCATGTGCGTCGTACAAAGAATTGAAGGCGGGCTGAATATTATCACGGTCAGGAAATATCAGGTTTCATTTGTATGTCGTCCAATGTGATACAAGAATGGAACGGGCTCCAGCGTGACAATTAAATTAGGCGGCACCACTAATTAAGTTAGACAAAGTGCGGGTAGACCGCTATTCCACGCAGTAGTTTTTTTTCAGCCTAACAGCTTAACGTTTGAGGTTGGTTTTGCTTTTAATCTTTCTGATGAAAGGTTGTTGATGGTCAAGTAAAAGAGTTTACCAATGCATTCCAGGTTCNTTTGCCAATAAATACCACGTTCAGATTTTCTGAACGCGGAACAGTTTGCTTTGGTCTATAAAACTTGAGCAGTCAAAAAGTGACCGCACAATCAGATACCCACAATATTACCTGTGGATTTCTCTCCAACCCATGTTTTTACCCCGGAATTTTATTTTCCACAACCTTCGTTGCCACATTTATTTTCCGCGAAGCCCTGTGGGGTTTTCCATCGCACATAGATCCCACCGGATAACAGTTCTCCTCTGTCGTGACCGGCTTATCAAGTCTGACAGATTTCGCGTCGTTCGGATAATAGTAGCGGAACGAACAACTAAAGCTCTTTCGGATCACCCGAATAAGATTTATTAGCTGAGAAACCTCTATTGAATAGTAATCGACTGTCACGGTCAGGCAAGACTTTTGGTGTAATCGTTCGTAGTGCTCAGCTGCGTACTTCTACTGCTCACTACGCCCTAACATGTCATCGGTACTGGCGAGATTTCTGAAGTGTGGCGACATTTTGAAAAGTCACCTCTAACCGAAATTCAGCTATGATCCTGAATAAAACCACTTCGGAGTGGAAAAAAGTGAGATCAGTGAAGATGAAGTGGACAACAGCAACACCCGATACTATTCATTCGTTCTTAATTGTCTTATTCCGCGTATTGTGATCCAGTGTAAAATTATGATATCATTTAACAGCTGTCGAAGGTTCTCGAGAATTTGCCGAGCCGAAGTGGAGACCACGCTGTTCATTGTTACATTCCCCTACAATTCTTCCATTATTCATGTACCCTTAAAATTTGGAATAACTAGAAGGTCTTGTGGAAACCAATGTGTTCAAATCTCTGTTCTCTGGGTTGTCGGAGGGTTGATGTGTGGGCGAGATGGCCCAAGTGTTTAGAGCGCAATTTGCTGACTGGAAGGTCCGTAGTTCGAATCCGACCTCCGCCACTCGACTTCCCCTGTCTAGGCTTGGGCAACCTGGCTTCCTTCGGGTGGCATGGTAGCTAGGCACCCGGAAGGGTGTACAGCTGAACGCTTTCTTTCTTTCTTTCTGTGTGGAGCCTTCGTAGTACACCGAAATTCATAGCTTTGGGACCCTTCATAACTATCATTTCTACCTCGGTGGGAATGTGATTGCTCCCAACCAATACTCCAAACAGTGGACGGGAGCCAATCATACCGTAGTCGGTTATTAATTTCAAATGAGGCTTATATCTTCAAGAAATACACTCATTTGCAAATCAATTTGGTTTTCACGAGAGACTCAACTGAATCTCTCGCTTATGATATTCTACAACTGAATGTGCTGCACACAGGCCGCCTCATGATTCAGTTGGCACGATATTCGAGGTATCGCAGTATATTTTCATGGGGTTGACGGAAACTCAGGGGCTGCGCCTACCTCATGAGCCCCAAGAAGGGCGAAACCGGTCGTGGGCTGTCGAAGAGTTTTCAGTAACCTTGTGAGAGGCTTTTATCTTGCTTCAAGGTCCTCATCTTGGACCTAAGAACAAGACCTCAGTGGCCGATTATTCGGTTGCCTTCATTCCACTGTTTTATTGCTATTCATTTCTATTCGTCTTGGTTGAAATTTCCGCCCTCAATTTTGCTGACGGGAATTAGCGATCCTTCCAATCGCGTTCTTCGCACTATCCTAGTATGTATGGATCCTAGCAGCCGTTTCCGTCCATTCACTTTTGTGTTCCCCCGTTCCGCATATTTGTTGGTTGTGAAATTTATGCGCGATCGGATAGCGTTTATCATCATATCGCTTCTTAGCCGTCTCATGTTCGCGCATAATCATACATTCTCTCTTGGACAGTGCCAGGACAAGGCCCAGAGGAGGTACTGTATTTGTCACTCTAATAATTTCCCAACAACCTAATGATAAATTGAACCCCGCTTTCCCCACCGAAACGATTAGTTTTGTTGTGAAGTAATTAGGAGCAACCAAATTGGCGGTAACGGTAGTCTCCCTATGCAGTTGGAATTGGTAGCGATCTCAAAACATTCGTAGCCTCTCAAAAAGTTCCTTGCAATGTTGTTTGACCCAACGACGTTTTTTTTACAGTGGATGGCATTAACTCTGAGCACTTGTTAATACAACCTAGCGAGATGACATTCAACTCTGATCAAGCGGTAGAGTTAGTGTGCATTGCCCCACAAACTGATCTGGTGGAATCTTGAACATGCTTCAGCGAGACCCCTAACATTATTTCGGTCGCTAATGCAGGTTGCAGTCTGACTTACTCCACTAATACTTGCACATTAGGTTCTCTGACCCAATTTGTAGGTTTTCTACGGTTAACACTGGTTGGATAGGTCGGATACCAGACTACGGAAACTGACGGAAGGGAGCCTACAAGGATAGCTTTCATCTGCACAGTACTCTTTGGAGGTTCATACACTTCTAAGGTTGTCGAAAAACTGTATGTTGTAGGTACATACAGCAAAAACAATGCAATGGTCAAAAGTGGGGAATGGAGTTATGAGCCTTGGATCGAAATAGGTTTGGATTATGAACACAGGTTTGGCCAGGTTGGACGCCATTTCTGATCAGACAGATCGCCCAGACCCGAAGCCACAAGGAATTTTAGGCTGGTTTTGGTAAATTCGGTTGCCATCGTGAAACGATCGCCGTCCTCGCTAGGTACGAAGTCGGATATTAATGCGTCTGTGTTTTTATCTGGTATGTTTGAAGAGACTTAAGCACGTCATACAGGCTTTTGAAGAGTGTTCTGCGGAAGTTGAATAAGAATCACCAAATAATTCTGTAGTAACTGCCATGTTTGTGTTGTTTTTTTCTAGGGCCACACAACTTCGACATCAGTTGGAGCAAACAAACGCGAAGCTTCACTGTTTGACTTCACAAAGAACTCAAATCGCCGGGATTCCACAGTCATTCACCGAACCCTGTAACTGGGACCGGCCTCAGCTTTTAGAAACCCCCATTCAGGTGAGTGTTGTTCATTTCTAGTACATACTTTTGCGTTCTCTGGAGAAATGTGTCAGCAGTGCTTTTTTATGTCGCTGTGAGATGTTGGTGACGACGTTAGACGTAGGGAGCGACTGCTGAATCCTTGACCCACCGCTTTGTACCAGTGGTGCCAAAGCTGCCAGCCACCACTGTACAACAACTGTGTGGTTCTTACAGCTGATGAATACTCTTATGCAACCGTCATCTCTGTGATGAATGACACCCCGCAAGAGTTGGGGTTTGCTTGTGAAGTTGTATACAAAGTCAACAATCGATACCTAACGCATTACCCAGCGACTGGTTTCTGTGCGAAGATGAGTCATTTTCAGAGATGTCCAATACTGGTGCTTTTCATGAGCTCAGCTCGGAGGCCAAATTCACATTTCCGCTTTTGACAACCAGTTACATATGCAAAATTGAAGTCGGATTTCTGCACGCTCAATTTTCGGCCACTGATTCAGGCTGTCAGCTTCCTCTGAACGACAATTTAAGGCTGGGACCAGTGATGGAATTGGGGCACACTAGCCGCGTTCAACCTCAAGGTTTTGGAAATGTGATAGACTAAAGTATCAGAGTAACGTTTTATGTAATGGACCATAACCAGCTTTTGTGCATGAATACATGGAGTTTTTTCTTTCTGTCCATAGAGAATACCCGAAATCAGTCACCAAGCGGAGCGGGAACTTGTCGTAGAATTACGGTAAGGCCTCTTTGGAGTTACGTGACATCAATGCCGACATCAATTAAGCTATGTGCATTCATGAACATAGTCCCCGGGTTTCAGTCGCAACTACATATACTGCAAGGAGCTTCCCGGGAGTTCAATCAGGCGTATACTAAATATACCGAAGTTTTTTCCTCACACAGAGTACTGCCCATCGTTTATGTACGATATCGTCCCACAATGACAGTTTCTGTCCTCCAGGACAGTGGAATTTTCTATCACTCACGAAGGCTAGTTGGGCGGGTTTGGGAAGGGACACTTCCACTTGTGATCTCTCATATGAGACTGAAATAACTGAACAGAAAAGCACCCAGTAAGTAAAACAGGTTGCTGCAGACAGGAGCGTCGATTCTGTGTACTTTAATGTCACGAAGGTTTTACCAAGCCCTCGAAAAGACTCGAGAGCTGGGAAGAAGTTTCTGTAGAGAAATATATCCTGAGAGCCTACTTTCGTTTCTGTAGTTTTCAAACCGCTCACTTCGCGGTTTCCCCTAGTTATTAAACATTAGCTAGCCGGTTAGCCAAACTCGGCGAATAGACCAAGTGTCACCTAAACGATAGCCAATGCACCCACACACGACTTACCGACACTTCAATGTACTAGCACACAGACAGCCTGAAATAAACTGACGTAGATCGCTGAAATCTGCCAGTAATGTCCGAGATAGTTGACCTTTAGATGGCTCGGTGGTTAAGGTGAGAACTTACTAAGTAGAATGTCCGTATTTCGCACCCGAACTATGCATCTCGACCTCTGTCTAGGCTTGGGCAACCCGGCAGTATCTCGGTCTTCGTGCTTCCTTCGGGTGGGATGGAAGCTAGGCACCGAAAGGGTTCTACAGCTGAACCATCATTTATTCTTAGTAATACCCGGATGGAGGAAGTCCGAAGATACAGTCTATAGATGCAAACGAATTTTTTATCGGAAAGTAGATAAAATCATCCGAAAAACGTTGCCATGAACGGAACATGTGTATAAAAATTCCGTCCTGGAAACCAACTGGTCGCCATGAACGCGCTGACAAAGTGAGGAAACAAAATGGATTATTCCATAAATGTTTAGGGTTCCCCCTGTTCTCGACTAAGTAAAGTAAAATGGAGAACCGGACAGTAATTGAAATTCAACTACAAAAGTTTCTTGAACACTCCTCATCTTCCTTAGTAGCTTTTTCAACTATAGAGTTCCTGCAGAAACACGGTTCTTTAACTCCCTCTTCTCTCTGTAGTATCACAAACTATCATTTATACGCCGTAAAAGGCCAACCAATCAGTGAGGAACTGTCTGCCGATCCCTGCCTAATTTCGACTGTCACGTGACAGCTCTCATCGGTCAAACCCTGATTCTTTTTAGTTTCTTCGTTAAATCGCAGTGGGAAGTAAGATATCTGTGGCATATTACTGTTCGTTGTGTGCATAGGTATTTGAATGGTGGGCACTTGATGTGATCGTAACATTCATTTCGGCTTCAAACGTTTTTATGGAAATCCCACGTGCAGTTATCGCCACCTAACTAAATGTACAAGGTCCACAAGTTCATGGGACTAAAATATATACCTGGTTGGCCTACCATATTTGAACGTTCTTGCTTATCCCAATCATAATGAGATACATACTACATAATGAATTGCGTGAGAAAATAAGTAACTGTAAATCGTTTACCGGAACCAGGTGTAGTGAGCATATACAGCTCAGACTAATGATGAGTTCAGCTATTACCACGGTCCTACTCATTTGAACTCCTTTCCTTTAGGTAAAATGCACGTTTTCATAACGACTTTCTCTTGTTATCTGAATTACACTGTTGAAATAGGTATTTTATTCCTGATAAAGAATACTCCAGATGTAGGTATGGCGTCATATGACAGCGTTCCGGAGAGACGGCTCATGCAGTTAGTAGATATATTGCCGGGCAACGTCCTTATTTTTTTTCGTCTGGCTATTCTGTTTCACAACAGTTGACTTGAGGGTTGCCTTAAATGTTGCTTGCACCTTTTTGGTCGTCTTTGTGAATAAGTAGGTGTTAGGACAAAAGGGTTAGCAGAAGCGGACTATACGAGGTTTTGAGTTTGGGTATTCTACTTTAGATCCAAACAACTTCTGTTATTAGCTTCTCTTGACCGATGAGTACATACCACCAGGTATCTGTTCGGTAGATTTACACATCTACCAGTTCTACCCGCTGTACTCTCTTCACCGCGTCATCGTGCGATATGCCTTTGGGGGCGCGACTATAAAGTTAAAACTAGACAAAACCAGGCATGTTCCCATTTCTCATGGAAGTGTGTTTCTCTTCAGATAACCACCCCCAAACAAAGGCAACTTTCCATCCTCCAAAGGAAGTCATTATATAGAGATAATTGAGAAAGACAGAATGTAGATACACTATCCCTCAATCATACAGGTTATACAACGGCATCCGGTGTTGGTTAGCTCTGATTTTGGGTAGCACATTGGTATTAGTAATCAGTACGTTACTGTAGTAGCTGCTTCGGTGTGTCCGAGATGTAGCGCGTGTGCGTGTCCGTTCGTCGTCCCACCATCGATCTGACGTGTGACTTGAGTGGCTGATTGGATGCGTGTCCGATTGTTTGGCTCGTGTGAGCGCTGTGGGTTGACTGGATATGTGACTCAGTTGTTTTACTTACCTGCCACGAAAGCGGACCAGTTTGGCCGCGTGTACTCAATACACCCGTGTCCATACTTACGTGTTCTTCTGACTAACTGTGAACTACAATACTTACTCAGTTGAATTACGGTCTACTTGGGTTTTGGAGGAACAACGTATGAAACGTTTATGTTAACCAATGGGAGTGCACCGCTGGTTGTTGTGTGCTACAGGAATTCTTATTGGTACTTTAGGGTCGATTACAATTACGGTAGATTTGGTTCGGCTGACTTGCAGCCCGAGGAGACTTTATCTCTTCAAGAGATCTGAAAAGAATCCAGTCAAATAGTTCTTCCCATAAAGATCATTTGCAATTTTTCTGACCCAAACACATACTGATTCAGGAGCCCCGTGAGTCCAGTTGGTAAGTGACTGTACAACTCTGTCGCATTGGGGTGGGGTTAGACCTTTGCGATAGACATAAAAAAGTAATTCAGAGGTTGGTAACTATATGAGAAACCTAATCGAATCGGGAAAGTGCTGACCATCCGCCACCAGTTGCCTTCAACTTGACCTCAGAAGTTTTTGTATATTCCGCGTCATTCATGTGTGTTTTGTGTGACAGCCTAGATGACGGAGAAATTATCTTCCAGCTCGTGTTAGACTCCGGACGCCGGCCATATCCCTTATGGCTGTATGCTTAGGGGAATTTTCTAAATACGTCACTTTCTGGAATGATAATCGCATTCGCAATGAGCTGTATTGTTTGCCTTCCGTACGATGGCCCTCTACGTTCCATTGAAACATGCACACATAAAAGTAGTATTTCACCAGAATACTTGTCGAATAACAACTTGAATTAGAGAGAGAATCCTTAAGAACCGGGGGGAGATATCACTGACTTTGGGAACTGATTCCTGACGGTTCTTACTATATGCACACGGTGAAGTAAGTAGTGAGCGTGAGAAAGTTCAACTTCACCACTCGCTTGTGGAGCAGTGGTACCGTCCTCGACGATACGACGTATTACTGTTAGTTACTAGGCTTTTCCCATTAAGTCTCGAATAGCTTTTCGTGCGCCGTGGAACCGAAATCTTTGAGGATCATTGTCACAGTTATCCATCATGACAAATTGTAAATGGCCCTACACCCTTGGCTGACAATGTCTAGGCTGACAGTTACTTCAAGATACCGCCGGCATATTTCGATTTGGGATCGGTAAGCAAGTTGGAGTGAGTGACGAAGTCGTTTTGATGAGTCGTACGCTTACACTGACCGCTTTCGCTAACAGTGGTTTCGAGCCGCTCCAGATAAGTGAGTTTGTTGTCATGGCCATGAACTCTTGCACAAGGATAGTTGGTATCCCTAATTGTGACTGTTTTACCAAGTTCCTTCTGAGCAGCTTCACAAATGCTGCTTGATCGTGCGCTACTTGAAAACCCTGGTCAAATGTGTTCCACTGGCCTTTTTCCAAGTCGACGACAAATACCGTTAAATTGTTGCATCAACCGGATGGTTATTAGGCGTTATGGAATTGGCGACCCGGTGACTGCTATCACCAATCCAGAGATTCAATATGGATGGGATTCTTGTCTTGGATGCCTCATAAACCAAGCAAAGGTTGTCCTTTTTGTACAGATCTTTGTACAGATCTATCTAACATTTGAGAGAATTCTATGGGTGGGATCTGTTTCGTTCTGAACTAACCTAAGAGCAGCTGCGACCTCAAACGGGGGAAAAATAGCCTGATTTTCCTTAGACCCAAATGACACGACGAGTCCTAAGACGACAGACGCTGTTCAGCGGCGAGGTGGCTGTGTATGTCATTACCAGTAAGGGGGGAGGAGCTACTGATTTTTGGTGGGATGTATACTCATTCGATCAACTATTTTGTAATGTGTCAACTATTTATTAGCCACCTGAATAACTCCGGCTAGACGCCCCCTTTTGGGAATGTGATTTTGAGCACCAGGTTATTATTCTTCCTCATGTCTCACTTGAATGTTTTGCTTTACTTTGTTGCGAGCCCAGTGGGGATTCGCTCACATCTCATTAATTTGATATGTTCACATCGATTCCCGGCGTGCCAAAGATAGTATTCGTCTTTTATGGATGTGGATTCCTGTTTCAGCTCCCACACCCTCAGCAGGCGAGCTTTCATAATAATCAAACACTAAGTCGATTAGACGCATGTGTCACGGCGCGGCCACGTCGCATTAGAGGCCATGTCCTGCTTGGGCAGGACATGAGCCAATCAGAATCGAGCAGTCTTGATTCGGCGCCTATTGCCCCATCACGAAGATTCTGACTGGATACTGTGGGAGATCTTGTAGTTACCCCATAGATACAACCGTAGTGATCTTCCATTGTCTTCATTAAATATTATCTCAAGCTACTTTGCCTTGTGGTGGTCGGCGGAACAGCAAGTCAAGGTCCAACAAAGGTGGTGCGAACCACAACACAATATCTTTTTGTGCTTCGGCGCGAAACAGCATCCCTCTCTGCAGTTCTGTAAAATAACGTCGTATAGCTGTGGCGTCATCTCAGTGCTCCAGTTTCCAGTTTTAAGTCTAGTCGCACAAATTTCTCGAAATTATAAACGAGCTGATTTTTCAGACACCTTTATCTCCTCTGCTTCTCTCTCGCTCGTTTCTTTCAGTCGCCGCATCGCAGATTTGGAGAACCGGTTGTCTGAAACAGAAACTGCGAAACTTGCTTTAGAAGAAAAGCTGGAAATATTTGAATCCCAGGTACGTAAATAAATGGTTGGACTGTCCAACGTAAGTAGTAGTTTATGACTGTTTTAGTGCAATACACTACGCTAAGTGAAGCCAATCTATGCTGAAAAGCCGAGGAGCACTGTACTGTTCGGCCAGGAGTGGCCGAACGGCTAAGTGTTCAAACTACTAGCCAGGAGGTCGCGGGTTCGAGACTTTTCGGAGTTTCGTGAGATGCGCACTACTGATGATTCCCAATAAGGATGAAATAGCTGTAGTGCTTCTCGGCTTTTCAGCATAGATTGGCTTCACTTAGCGTAGTGTATTGCACTAAAACAGTCATAAACTACTACTTACGTTGGACAGTCCAACCATTTATTTACGTACCTGGGATTCAAATATTTCCAGCTTTTCTTCTAAAGCAAGTTTCGCAGTTTCTGTTTCAGACAACCGGTTCTCCAAATCTGCGATGCGGCGACTGAAAGAAACGAGCGAGAGAGAAGCAGAGGAGATAAAGGTGTCTGAAAAATCAGCTCGTTTATAATTTCGAGAAATTTGTGCGACTAGACTTAAAACTGGAAACTGGAGCACTGAGATGACGCCACAGCTATACGACGTTATTTTACAGAACTGCAGAGAGGGATGCTGTTTCGCGCCGAAGCACAAAAAGATATTGTGTTGTGGTTCGCACCACCTTTGTTGGACCTTGACTTGCTGTTCCGCCGACCACCACAAGGCAAAGTAGCTTGAGATAATATTTAATGAAGACAATGGAAGATCACTACGGTTGTATCTATGGGGTAACTACAAGATCTCCCACAGTATCCAGTCAGAATCTTCGTGATAACCAACACACTTTCCTAAATCCACTCAGTTTACATGTATCACTACGTTTAAAAATCAAAACGTTTCCCAATCAACTGAGGACTCTTGAATAGGAACACAGGCGATCCGATGAGGGTCAATCCAGGTCGAAGTGATTGTTTTTTATTATGACCACACGTTGGCTTTTATCAATTTTGGTTCATTCCTCTCCATATTACAGTTATACCAGTGTTGGTGTTTCTCTGTTGTTCTGATAACAACTCTACAGCAGTGTACCCTTGTGGCACCACATGAAAATTAGTAAGGGAATAAGAGAAATAAAAGTGGTGAATAACAATAACAGTAGTAACAATAATTACTCATTCGTGGCATTATCGCCGTGCATTTCGAAGCAGGCGGGGGACTGGTGTATTGCCAAATTACCCAAACGTATACAGAAGTAATCAGAAAACCACGGTCTAGTTCGACCTTGGGACTGGCCGGTCGGTACTCCTGTTCCTGGATGCTGAGCTGTCCCACGGTACAAGTGAATGGTCATTCCTATACTTCTGTTTTTCGTTCCAGGGAATCGGGAACAGGAAACCGCCATATTTCCCCACTGAACTGAACTTGCGAAACACCTTATTTTTGTTTAAATTCATCAGGCCCGTGTTTAGGTTTGATCCTTCATTTCACTTTTCTCGATTCATTTGAATAATTAACATTATTGTGTGTCATTCGGGTTGCCTGCATCACGTTCAACTATTGAGAACAAAGTGCAGTAAACTACAGAGGTCGTCGTATGGTGCAGGCAATACAAAGCCAAAGCCACAGTGGCGTCTCTAGAATCTTGGTAGCTGGTCAAACGCGAGTTAGAGCAAACTTCGGAATAATACTAAATCGTGTGGTTGTGAAAAATCTAATCACGAACCATCTGAACTGCACCGAACGCTTCAGCGAATTTGGGTCCACTTACCGTGTTGATTCTTTGAATGTCGAAGATAAGTGTATTTTCCATCAGCATGGTCATAATGAGGGGCCCACCGCTCTTAGTTGGAATGATCTTACCAGGTAGCTTGTTTCTTGATTAAGGGGTTCGGGTAGGTTGTACTATCCTTTAATATTAGCATTCTATTATTCTCCACTCATTCTGAGCATTTACCCTTGAGCGCGTTTACCATAACATCATAATTTAGCTTTGCGTTATTGAACGTTCTTCTCATTCGTATTACAGGGTTCCTATGACCCCCGCGTCACAACAGTTGTAACACTCAAAGCGAACCCAATGTCAACTTTGAAGACGAATCAGTCCAACGAATTGGCTCATCTGAGGCATGAAAACGAACGATTTCGTCAGCGGATTAAGGTACGTGACCTCCTCATTACACATAGTCAGCAGTTTGTTATAGTTTGGTTCTCTTGTATCTTAGATTACTGATCTTGCCTTTCAACCGCCTAATTCACTACTCGCATTGAAATACTCATGCCGTTGTATACCAAAGTGGGCTCATTGTTTCACTGTTGAGTAGCACATTCGGATAACCCACATTCCTGAGCCTGTGCACAAACCTTATCACTTACATTACATTCGGAGATTAAACCATGAGTTTCATGCAATCAAGTATGAGTTCTATTAATTATGGGACTGTCTTAGGATCTCCGTCAAACTCCAGTGTACGCATACTTAAGCAAGTACGGTGGCATTGCTGTCGCGTGGTTGAGTAGACTGACTCGTTTTCGGAACTTTTAGTGTATCTGCTACTCTAACCTGGTTACAGTGACCTCTACCAGTGTTAGGTTGCTTTCACGTAACTGCTCAAGGCTACACTGGGGGTCTGTGGTAAACTCAGCAATGATCACCCGTAAATGAAGGGTGTTATTCTGCCTTGGGTATACAATAGGGTCCCAGCAATGGATGTTCGGTAGCTGCTCTAGTTCTAGTTCTCCATGTGGATGTTTTGTTTATATGGAGACGTAGTTTCGATTGTTGTTTCGAGGTTGTTCTAAAGCGGCTCAAACCAATATGGTCACCGGAGCCCGTTCAACTCGTGTATATGAAACAGTCAGTTATCTGGAATTTCATCATAAACGGACTTGTATGTCTATGAAGCTCGTTTCACTGGTGCTTATCATGTTTTCTACCTCATTGATTCCAGGTTCTTGAAGACTGCCTCTCAAGGCTCCGCGAAGCCAAGGCCAAGTCTTCCAACCATTTACTCTCAAATGAGCCGACGGTTGGCCTGAGTGGCGTCACTATGGTGGTTAATGAACGGTTACAAGAAAATCCAGATCCACTGAGCGAACTGGCAGGTTCGTTTATCTAGTGCCACAACCTCAAATATCTAGTATTTCCAGACCCCATTGCTATGGACTGGTGATATATGCAGGTCTATTTCCAATCAGCCACTGGGTCGAGATCTGTCGAACGTGATCAGTTTCCAGCTGGGCACAAAACTGTCCATTCTCTCGTCTCGTTCGAACAGATGACTCATTAGAGGACCAGTGTTCTATCCGTAGCTAAGTTCCTTGCCAGGCCAGCCGCAGCCACATAGCTCAAATTAGTTTGCCTGCTCTGATATTTACCTAGCCTAGTTTTTCCCTGTTATATTCTCTTCTTAAACAAATTGGAAATGTTGGTTCCTGATTCATACCTCGTATACTCTAGCTACACCGTTTAATTTCGTACCGGTGACTTGGTATTTATCAGCCTCTCCGTGAGGACTGAAGGTAATCCAGGTAAGACGATTTGACCACTCTCTACCAGCCTAATTTTTTTCACTATTCAGCTAGTGAACAGCTAGTTAAACCAGTCACACGACCTAATTAATTTCCAACTTCACAGAAGTTCGTGAACAACTCCGAGTCGAGAGGCTCAGAAGTGACCGTCTTATGGAAATGTTTGACAAAGCAAGTACCAAATTCCGCGGTGCATGCCGCGAACTGCTCGGCTATCGGATTGATATGAATACTGCAGATGAATATAAAGTTCGTTCAGCGTTTGTTTCGGACCCGAAGGAGTATATTCTCTTTAAAGTGAGTTCCCTGCTTCATCAATTGTACACGATACGAATCACCATAAGAGTTAGTTCCATCTTACGAAAGCTTTTGTCTTCACGTAAACAGTTACAATTTTAGTAATCATCCGGCAACACATTGTTATCCATTGCCGTTTGAGAATAACGTAACGATGTTGCAGCGGCTTCAAATGACAGCTTCGAATAAATACTCCAGAGCACGTCTCGTTCGCCTAATGAGTCACCGTGACTTGGTGTACGATTTATGGACATCCTGTTTCCTCTCGTTTAGCGCAAATTGTGGAGATAAAAATATAATAGTGCATAGGTCAGGATTTTGAACTGATGAACGGTTCATGTAAATCGCCGGTCTTGAATCCATTTTTTCCTTTACTCTCTACTCTTTTATCATTCTGGAGCCCATTGGCTTCAACAAGAATTGTTTAGTGGCAAGAATTGCCAACCTTGACCCTTTGAAGCCAGAAAATTGTCAGCTCTGTGCAGACGGGTTGCCCTTTTCAAACTTAAGGCATTTAAAACACAACCAAAACCTTACTTAATGATGCCTAGTGCTGTACAGTCAAGGACAACATTGTGCCTAGTGTGTGGCTGCAAGGTCGAGTTCCAAGTGAGCTAGGATGCAATGACGCCATTTGTTAAGTGTATCTGCCTTGCGGTGGGTTCACTAGCACGCTGAAGCCATATTGTACTAAATAGATTGACGGAAATTAACTGCCACCCTATCCCCAGCACTTTACCAATGTTGATTTTCCGCTTGTGATGACAAATTCAGGTTGTCTGTTAGGTTACGTCAACAGTTTAATAGTATTCCAACAAATTCATTGTTGACGAAATTTTTTCCAGAAGTGTACTAGTCCGCATTTTCGTTGAAGTGCTCAAGAAGTGGATGATCACAAAGACGGGTCGGTTAAATAACGATTTCATACAGAAGATTACAATCTCATACATTATCATGTGACGAACGATCCTCGAGCCTTTCAGTGAAATTCCTAACTGTCGTGAGGTATAGGGATCACAGCATTGCTAGTTGAGTCAAGCTTCAGGTGAATTGTGCTTCCCAGTCGACGGGTCACCAAGAAGGGCGAAACCGGTCGTAGGTTGCCAAAAGTTTCCAGCAATCTTATGGTTAGTGAGTGTGTTGCCTCTAGACAATGTACTCTGATTTCTCAGATATCCGATCTATTAGAACATAAGGCGACCTTGTGCAGCGCATCCGGTTAAAGAGGAGAGTTAAAGCACGAGAGATTTAGCTGGACTCATAGAGTCCCCCGGTAAAACCAATGTAATGTGCAAATGAGTGTATTTGGAGAATTCATTTCCGGTACTGTGTGTGCGGTTTGACAATTGTTGCCTGATTGTGCAAAGCCACACAAGCCATGACCTCAAATGTTTCGTCGTTTTTGTGCACCTTGCTTCGTTCGCCTACTTGACAAAACAAATAGTTCTTCATTCTGACCTTTGATTTGTTCCGTTTCTGGCACCCTCTACTCCAGAATGTCTCGTAATTCTACAACACTTGCGACATCATAAATCGTTGGTTTCGTAGACTACGCCCTGTCACTCTTTGCAGCTAATTTGAACACTAACGACCCCGACCACCCACTTTGTCATTACCTGCCCCCTAAATTTAAGAACGTCCCCACGTGGGCGTTGTCCTTCGTGTTGAAAAGTACCTATGTATATGAACCGGTCTTATGTCCACTTCTAAACGCCACTTTCTCGAACTCATTTCCAATTAATTACCATCTAAGCGCACAAGGTTGATACGTATTCAAAAGCCATCTGTGGAGTGTACTGCTGCGGTGATTCACCGAAAGTACTGCTTACTGGGGGCCTCTCATCTTATTTTTTAAACGAAGCGATGTTCGTAGATGCTGATCATTCTGATGCACAATTATCCAACTTCTCAGTTCATGCAACTCCGCAAGTGACACACTGTTTTTGAAAGCCTAGTGAGGCAGGAAGCGTTATTACGTAGTCCCGTTTATCGTTATTGAGCTATTGCTGACGTCATACTATAATCTCCTCGCGAGTTAAACACATAACTTTATCTGTACCATCATTTCCCTTTCATAGCGCGTGAACGGAAAATTTGAATTGCAGGCCACAGATTACAGTTGCACTCTTCCTGACGATATTCGTTCCTATTTGAACACAAACAACGGTACTGCTGGTTTCTTTGCAGCTCTTACCATGTTCTATCTCCAACAAAACACTTTGCTCATTTGACTTTTGTAGAGCAATTTGACTATTTTTATGTATGGAACGGTTATTTCTCCGGCTGGATGGCAAGCGGAACCAGGCGACTATCGATAGAAAAATATCTTGATTGCTGACTGTGCATTTGCACACCATTTCACTCACTAATTCTTCCGTACTCATAAGTAGCTTAAAAACTCACGATTTTTCAGTCGCTAAAGTGTTCACTGCCCGCCGACGAGTGCGTACATTTTTGCATCTCAAAGCACAGCACCACTTTCTTGACGGAGGAGTCAAAAGGCTCGTATGCGTGCCATTCGGACAGGAGTGACATCACGAATACCGCAGTCATGGACGCTAAATTACAGCAGATAAAACCCCATCGGGACTGTGCCTAAATTTAGCCATAAAGTAGAATGAGAACTGGATTATTGCATCTCATTTTGGATCGTGTTAAATGACATAGTATACAATGAGAGTGGGATTGCTGGAGCAAAATACTATAACACCGCAGTTTCGTTAGCCTGCTGCGTAAATGAAAATAATGTACTGAAGCAACACAAACAACATAGAAAATTGGAACTAATCCAAATTCTTCAATCGAGAAACAAATGCATCTAAATTGTACTCCAATTCGTAACAACGTTCCACACTGTCAAGTGACTCGGTATTGGCACCAACACTGTTATCGGTCCTGGAGTGTGGGGTATCCGCAAAGCGATCAAACAGATGTTCCGTGTCCATACCGGTAAGACTCCGATTCTCCGTGGTGACTACCGTGTTAGCCAGGTGCAATTTGAAAGCCTGCAGGTTCATTATTTGCTCCTCAATGCTGTCCTGTGTGATTAGGCGATAAACGGAGACGGTACGTTTCTGTCCGATCCGATGCGCCCGATCCATGGCCTGAGTAAATACAGAAGAGTAAAAGATGAGCTCAGCTGTACACTGGGCGTGAACTAAAAACTAAACGATGGGAACTATCAAAGTGCAAGCATTTTTGACTATCGATTTTACGAAGAGCGTACCATTGGCGACAGATTTCGACAAATACACTCGCTTGTGTGTCAATTTCGTTATAACGGGAAGCTCACCTGGAATCCAACTGAATCTCTCGTTTATCATGCCGAACATAACGTTGACGGAAACCCGCGCCTATCTGATGAGCCCCAAGAGGGGCGTAACCGGTCGCGAGCTGTCGATGAGTTTTCAGCAGCCTTATGAGTAGTGTATTATGTCCATGCAATATACCGCGATACCTCGAATATCGTACAAACCGAAGGACGAGGCGGCCTGATGCAGCATATCCAGTTACTCAAGAACATGATGAACGGCAGATTCACTTGGTTCGAGGTGAGTCTCCTGTCAAAACTAAGCTGCTATGCAAGTGAGTAAATTTGTCGAAATCCATCCGATTTGGGTCCCAGTAGAATTTAAGCTTGAGAGAAACTCGGGGGCTGCGCCTACATGATGAGCCCCAAGAAGGGCGAAAACGGTCGTGAGCTGTCGAACAGTTTTCAGCAGTCTTATGAGTAGCGTACTACGACTTCAATAATTTAAGTAACTCCATTAATTAACTTAAATTTAATTACTTCGATTTCTATAACCTCTTGGATAGTGTAATTGTGTGAATAAAGTTAATAACCTCAATAATCAGAGAAAGGCAAACTACAAGCTCTGTTGGCCTGGAGAGATAGTCCGGCGCCACAACCAACAAGCGAATAAAGTGGAGAATGATTAGAAAAACCTTATTGCCGAAAACCCCAAAGAAAATACTGTAGAAAAATAACTATTGAATTTGTTGCCCAAAAGATCGTGTATAGATTTTCCTCATTTTGAAGGCGCTCTGCTCGGAGTTTCCCTTGTGTTCAAGGGCGCAGTATTTTCTTGGAGTTCCATTTTTATGAATCGATTAGGCGCGGTACCTCCTGCAGAGATGGCCCAAGTGGTTAGAGCGCAAATTTACTGACCGGAAGGTCCGTGGTTCGAATCCGACCCCCGCCAATCGACTTCCCCTGTCTAGGCTTGGGCAACCTGACAGTATCCCAGCCCTCGTGCTTCCTTCGGGTGGCATGGCAGCTAGGCACCGGAAGGGTGCTACAGCTGAACGCTTTCTTTCTTTCTTTCCTGCAGAGTAGTTAGACTCCATGGATTTGGATTGTGTAAAGAGGTCAGGTTTTCCCATTTAGGGTATATGGACAGGGATGACGAACGAAAGACGGAGTTTCCTACAAGAGCTTACCTGTAAATCTTTACTTGGATTCCAGTCGTGTTCGACAAAAATGACTGTATCAGCACCCGTGAGATTCAGACCGAGACCACCGACGGCTGTGGTAAGCAGCATAATATCGATGGATGGATCTTGGTTGAAACTGACAGCACGAATAAGAGAACACAGAGAGAATTTCTTGATCATCTTTCAGTGAAGGAAACTGATATAACGAACGGAAGCAAATTGACCAACAACATGCCTCGGAAAAATTGCTTTGCTGGTCTCTGTTACTTAGCTGTTTACGTGGGCCACAGAAGTCAAAGCACCGCTGAAACAATAATAGATTTAAAATGTCAGTGCGCTCTTAAGTAACAAAGCCCGACCTAGCGGAACGGTTAAAGAGCACAGAAAGTCGAAATCAAATCGACGAGCATTGGATACATAACGCGACACCAGGGAGTGATTGCTACAAACAGTAAGTGAAAAAAATCAACATTGCGTTTACTGCTGTGAGCGAAAAACGACCATACTGGGTCAAAACATAGTGATCCAACAAGTGTACCAGGGGTTACAGTGCTCGGTATAAGAAATTCTCATCCAGGAAACAACTCGAGGGAAAAAGCTTTGGTGATTCCCAATTTTGCATGGACCGATCACTATCTGCAAGAAACCCTTACTTGGAAGATGCATTGAACCAATAATTTTTGTGTGCGTCCACCGTGCTGACGAAATCCTCCAACAGCCGCATAAGAAACACTGAAGATCCATAGATTGCTTTCCGGATGGAAACAAAACAACCTAATTTCGAATTCACGTAACTTTGATTTTAGTCGCATCCTTATGTAAACGGAAACGGACTAAGATTCATTCGTCGAGAGTAAGGCAAGGTCTGAGGGTTAGCCGTTGGTGTGTGGTTGAAGATCTCATTCATTTATTGAACCTAAGACACTACATCGGGATGGTTTATCCATGTGCTTGTTTGCCTCTCACCGAAATGATCAAGGCTTCGCGTTATAGAAACGCAAGGCGAAAGCCTGTTGTTCTAGGCTATTGTCAAGTATGATTCCTACTTCAACGATTGTTTTGAGAAACAATAGAATGACTAAACTGCTAAACGAAAAGTACAAGGATATGTGTCACCTGAATAGAAATATAGACAAACTTGCGTAACAATTGCGGTAAAGAGATAAAGTTCGTGGAAAGTCAGCACTCCGGTTTTAATCTGCCAACTGCGTTCCAAAAGCAATCGGTTAACAGCATAAAAGGGAATAAATAAAAACGGTGCGCAGGAACAGCCAGGTCCATTATTCTATTGCCAAGGTAAACTAATAGCACATGCCAAAGTCTTTTGTGCGTGTGATATTGTTTAATCAGCATTCTCACCAAACGTCCGCAGTAAAATTCGGACGATGTTATTCGGTCGAGTCGGTGGCCTTTATAGGCTTCGCGACCGATGAAGCAGGTTTCCGAGGCGCACGATTCGTTACGGGGACACTTCATAAAACAGGGGCATCTTTAGACGGAGAAAAACTAGATAAAGTGGGTAACAGGATGCCTAACCGATAAATATGATAAGCCAAACTCAGACAAAATTGTGGTAAAGCATACCGCATGACCCTATTTTGACGTTCGGAAACGGGCACCTGACCATCCAACCGAGTTGATGTAATCCAGGGGAAATGCATTCTGTGTGAAGGCAACGGGGTGATAATAATGATTCGAATGAAGTAAAGGTAAATTAAATAGTGAGGGTGGTAAATCAAGCACTCATAACAGGCTCTAGAAAACCTTGCTGACAACCCAACTGATACACTCAACCCATTGTCATTGGATTTCATGCAGACGAACCAGAATACAACAAGGTTCATTAAAATAAAAAGCAACTGAATATTGCACCTACTAATCGCGTTCGCGTACGGCCTTTAGCTGGTGAGGGAAGTGTGCATAAGCCGTAAACTCAGCAGCACCGAGGTTCCGAGAGCTCTCACCGATATCTGAACATAAGTCGTACAAGTTCCATACGTCCATGAGTGCCGTGGCAAAAGCATGCAGTGAACCATGGCAAACGAAATGTGTGGAGACGGATAACACTCATAAGCACGGTGGGAAAACATGATTTGTCCAGGGGGATTGCGTACTTGCGTCCCTAGCAGATCAAAAATTTAGCAAATCTGCATGATATTTTTTGGAACAGTGTGTGTAAAATAGAGATAAAACACGTAAGATTGATCAAGATGACATTAGCGTCGTCATTCCTGTGCTGCGACCAGAATGCGTGCATTTATCCATTGTCTTCATCTCCCTGTGCCCTTTGGCCCAGAAGTCAATAAACAACCGAATGGACAACGCCGAGCAAGCCGCTCACACTCGCATCGTTTTCGGGAGCTCATTCAACGTGAATTCGTCTGTTCTAATCCAGCAAGAGGATCAGGACCAGCTGATATATGCTCAAGCAAGCTACAAGAAAATTCAAACAGTGATAGTCCTGAGCAGATCATCATAGAGGTTAGATATACACTAGGTAGCATTGCGCATGATATCTCGTCAGTCGCTGACCTGTCAGTACCTAGAAGACCATGTCCTGATATGGTGACCTCAGACAGTAGCGGTCACCAGCTCTGCGAACAGAGGCCACGCATAACACCGGTATTTGATTGCTGTGGATCAATATCAACAGATTTCAAGGGTTTGTTGTGGTAGATAAGTAACAAAAACAGGCACTTCAGAAAACCCGCTCAGATGATGTCAGCGCAAATCTACTGCAAGGGCGCTCGGGACATCGATGTGCAGCCCCAGCATGCATTCGTGAGAAAGCAACTCGTGAAATTGATGTCGGTTTTGGGATTCCCAAAGGACACAAAACTACAAATAGAACCGGGTGGAACTTAACGCTGCAAATCGACGTATACACGAGGAAATAAAATGGGCGAAAAGAGAGTTACCTATAGGGAAACTAGAACACACCTCAACATATCCTCTGTTAATTGCAGCATTTCCCGAGTTTGGAAGAAGACAAGTGCCCTGTGTTGACTGAGTAGAGTCCTGTCGTCATCTAACTCTGACTGCATGGTGGAATGTTGTGAAACCGAGGAAGACTGCCAGTTCGTTGTGAAATTTGGGGTGCCAAAGCCACAGTCCGTCAGTAAACGACTGAGAAAAGTAGCGGTAAAAGTTATGTGTAGGAGGAATAAAACATGGGTGAGTAAGAACCGCTGGCGGGATCGCACTGCGTTAACTGATAGGCGGAACTGAGCCGCAGACGAATTACAAGAAAGGACAAAATTGGCGAAACTCACCACAGCCCAAGCAACTTCCCACTTAATTGGACTGAATTCAATGCTATGTTCGAGCCGAATTCGATCTGGATGGTGCGTTCCACCTCCGACAAAGCAGGGTGTCCACGTTTTAGGGCTAAGCAGGGATGATTGCAGATGGCCTGCAGATAGCGTAGTGCTTGGAAGCCATATCTCGAATCGCCAGTCGTAACGGTTGCCGGGCGGTCGGTTTCAGACTGGATTACATTACCGACGGAGCGTATAAGCCGTTGTCCTTCGGTTGATTTGGTGAACGCCTCATACAATTGCCACTAAGGGTAATAGAGGCGCAACGACAGTATGAGGCGAAATTATCTTGGGAGCTTTGAAAATGGTTCCGAATTATTGAAATGATGCTTAATTACCATAATATCACAAGCTAGGTATGTTACCGAACGGGTGGAAGGTGGAAAATTTTGTGCTTAACTGAGTGCATTTCACTTAGCTGGATTTAAGACTGTGTCGAATTAGTACTCCGTAGTACATGGCTGCCCTTTTCCGCAGCTATGCTGCTGAGTCGGGCATACACATAGTGGCTTGTGTAGCTGTAGAACTGGACAAGCACGGATCAAATGAGCCACGAAAGCAGAGAATAGGGAGGTAAAGGATCAGTTGCTTTGAGAAGAATATCGCTAGGTGGGGCTAGTTAACTCAGCGGAAGAGACAAGGGGGAAAATATTTGTTCAATTTAGCACCCGCTGGATATCTGGCACTTCTCCACACTTTTTGTCATACCCCCTTAAACTTGTCCAAGTGGATCGGATAGTTGAGTTAAAACCCCACGGCTGACAAGCTGGTTGCTGCAACAATATTAGCACGAGTGAAGTCATCCGAAAAAAATGATCATGTACCAGTAAACCGAGGAACTTAGGTATGGGAATAATCCGGAAATGTTAACCCGTTGGCTGCTAGCCTGCTGTTCATCATTGACCAATTGAGGTTATTTGGTACAACGGTGAACCAAGTGAATGAGGCGTGCATCACAGCATGGTCTATAGAATGAAGAAAAAACCACCATATTCTCACTAGCTGACAATAAACGATCATCCTTCGTGTCGTTTGGCTCCACATACAGGTGAACCTTTTTGAACCAGTTTACACTGTCAAAATACTCAATATCGCTCCAATGTTCAGCCAGATTTTCATCCCGGGAACAGTCACGCAATAGAGCGGACATCTGAGGCAACTTGAAACGCCACGTTTGTTGGTAATGACGGGTCGTGAAATGGAGCGGAGGTAGATTATATCAACAGTTTGGATAGGTCTAAGATAGCACTTGTCTAACAATAAAATTCCCAAGTTGTTCCTGGGTGTATGACACTTCAATTGTAGCTCTGTGTAGTTCTTTTCCGATCATAGTTAGATAATTGAATTTCATCGTCAGCGACAACACGACATCAGTGTTCAACAGCGATGCTTCGCTGCCGTACAACCATGATTTATTTGAAGGACTTAGTGTGAATAAATGAATGAAAGCGGGTAGAGGAAGGACTAGGTGCCAGCATAACACAACCACTTCGAGGTGCCTACACCTCCAGACACCCAATCAGGCAATCTGGATAGAAACTGACAACACGAATGCGATTGACGTCAATTAGCAGCCATATCTTGCAGCGTCTCCAACCAGGCCCAATAGGCATCATGTGGTCCCCATCCTAAAAGGCGGGTAGAACCGACTGCACCCAGAAGTTTCGTAATCTCCTCCATACCCCTCTGCCAGATCAAGGATTGGCAATCTCTCCGCTTCCGCCACTCTGAACTGGGCACTGAAAAACAGAAATCTCCGGCAAGATATGGTTCGGTAATCACAATACATGGCCTAACCAACGCAGCTCTGATGCTGGACACATTCTTTAATGGAGGTCTTCGCTGCACAACCGAAAACTCGCTTCCTAATTGTATCGCTGCGCATTCTTCCACACCAACCCAATCCTGAGACAAAGATTGTCGAACAATCGAAGACGTCTCAGGTCTGTTGCTCGAACAGACCAAGTCTCACAGCCATACAATAAAACAACCCGCATTGTAGCCTGATACAGACATCCCTCGAGATTCAGGAATTTGCCGCTTTGACGGCGTAGGTGTCCCAGATAAGCAAACACGACTCTGGCCTTGCGGATTCGTCCATTGACTTCATCTACAATTTACACTAAGGGCCAACACAACTTCAAGTACCTCTCCCTGGATTATAAGTAGAGTGGTCAGTGACTATATGTCCAGAAGCATGACCTTCCACTTTGTGGGTGCAATGTGCATGCCAAACAGGATGACTTTGGTCAGTCAAACCAGAAAATCCCGCACCTTCTTCTCTTCGAAGAACACACAGCCGACTTGAACACCGGGGCTTTGGAGACCTTTCAGCGCTCGTCTCATTATTTCATCGATCACAAAATCAAATAGAAATGGAAAGAGTGGGCATCCCTGACGGACACCGCTTTGAATACGGAAGCTTTTGAAGAGGTCTCCGTTTACTCACACACGTCCGAAAGTCTGAGAATACTAACAACGTTATTATGTTTCAAACTTCCGGGACATTCTTTGATGGGAGTGTGTCAAGAACAACAAACCGGTAAACCGAGTCGAATGCGCCTGTGAAATCCAGGACTGCCAAAACTGTGGGTCGTATGATGGCGCTGTTGCAGCACCTGACAAAGTGTGGAGATCTGAGCAACCCAACCTCTACCAGGCCGGAATCCTACTTGCTGCTCTCAGGTCAGTGTTTCACGAGCCACCATAAGGCGATGAAGCATAAGTGACACGAGAAGTATCGTTAAGACCGATCATCCTGTAGTTACCACACTCAATACGCGCCCCTTTTTAAAAAATGGGTTTGTTTATGACGCTCAGTATTGGCACAATGGAATTGACTGTTCGAAAGCTATTACGTGTCCCTGATGGACAGTATCGTTACGATCATCCTGTAGTTACCACACTCAATACGCGCCCCTTTTTAAAAAATGGGTTTGTTTATGACGCTCAGTATTGGCACACACAAATTGACTGTTCGAAAGCTATTACGTGTCCCTGATGGACCAAAGCAATCAGGCAATTGAGTTCAGAGCACCAGTCCAAACTTTTGAGCCCCATTTAGGCATCCAGGGCTCTCAGCGATGCTGCGGGATTATTCCACCAGAGGTATGATTGCTTCAGTGGACAATGAAATTTGGTGAACTGCAAACATGTGGACGAAGATAAGGATGGGTTTTGGTTTGAGCACATACGCAACAAAATGCAACGTTTCGGCGCGAAAAGTTTTACTCCACTCATGAACCTTTTTCACTTAAGAGTATTGTGCGGCTAATGAGCCCCAAAAATCAAGATTTGATTATGTATTTCAAATCGTCAACCCCACAAAAAATATAAAGTTATGTGTAGTTGAAATCCAGGACTTTGGTTATAGTCTTCAATTCAATGGTCTGAGAGTGAGTGTTGTTTTCCATGTGACCTACTTGGGAATCGTGTGACCTGGTCTACGGATACGGCAACACTTGCCGGAATGCTGGGCAAAGCAGTTGTGATTCGAGTTGCGCTTATTTGCATTTTGTTATCACAGACAGATAATCATTGATCGTAACGCTGCTTCCCTTCGAAAGCAGTCTAGCTGTCCGACTGACAGAACAATGGATCGATTAGCTATTTAATACAACATCCAAAAACCATGTATCGACAGCTATAAGAGCCAAGGTATAAATCAATAGGGTAATAGGCATTTTGGTTGAAATATACTCCAGTGAAACACGAGCTTAGTCCAACAAAAAACCGGCTATAAAGCCCCGAGAACGGCACTACAGTCTAAATCCATGCAATGAGTCAGAACGCAGACAATCGTAAAAGCATGTCCAACTCGAATAATTTTTTGAATCCATCTGTCCTCATACGCCACAGGCGATGCAGCATTTAAGTAGATAGAAGGGCCTATCCTTGGGATTCTTTGGGTGACTGGAGCATCTAGACATATTTTGGGTGGACGGATTTCTGTCAGCAAACAGTATACGAACGTATGGAGATGGAGGCTCCGCTGAGGTAACTAACTATACCACTGCAAGCAGACGCAATAAATAATCGGCTCCATATAAAAATATTAGTGAGGAACAAAACACACTCACCTGAACTGATGTCATTTCACAAGCGAAATCCTGGATAATTTTAGGTGGCAGGTCTGCCATAACGTCTTCCTTCAAGCGCCTGAGCATGAATGGAAGGACAAGTCGGTGAAGCTTCTCGAGTGCTAAATGTCCTGCACCAAAGTTTCGAACAAACAGAATGGATGATGATGAGTGTATAATGAGCAACGCAAGTGAGTAGTGGAGCTTGGCAGTTCAGAGTGTAATGCATTTTGCAAATTGTACTGACATCACGAACACATTACGACCACGAAACAGCTCTACCTAATCTCTTATCGGGACTATGTCTCGAGGACAATGGCACTAAAGGGCAAAGAATGAGCATCCAAGAAAGTGATGGTAGTATTGATGTTGCAGAGAATTATGTTTCGTATACTGCTGATGGCGACTAGCGACTACAGTGGAGTCCCCAGGAAACAGCATACTGGCGTAAATCTATGAAATATCCATAAAAAGGTGCGAGAAGAACGGGCAGAAGAATCCAAACATTAGAGTGAGGACGTGCGAGCCGAAAGAAAGAAATACCGTCCTTTCGCATTTCCCCTTTTCGATTCACATGTCGAAAACCACGGGTAGAGCTGAGTAGTCGTTACGAAAATGGCAGCAAATGACGTGGTGCTGCCTAGTGTGTCTCACTGACATACGGGGTTTTTTTGCCACTTTTCTACATAACAGAGCGCAGCAAATAACGAAATGGTACACAAATTAATTCCAGAGACGGGAGAAAACATTGGATAAGGAAGAAAGTGTACAAGTTGATGCAGTGATAAACTATGATCATTTAGTTATATGGCACAAGCCCCATTGTTTCACACACAGCCTCTACTAGATTTCGATTGTCACGATTCCGTAAAACAATTTTCAAGTAGAATTCCGCTGAGCCGCAGAAAGGATTCTTATACAAACAAGAACTTCAAAAGTCCTACGTGAATTTCTATGGTCTAGGAAGACCCACAGGGACCCTGTGGGTTATGACTTTGAAACATCGTGAGTCTTTTGGCTGGTAGACAGCGTTTGCCGTTCCTCTTAAGGAGGCGCATGTTATTATTGAAGTATTCTTCAATAAAAGAAATGTTGTCGTCCATAGATTCACTTCTCAACACTTTCGCGTCACACTATAGACGGTGTAACGGATGAACAAGTGCAGAACGGGGGCCATGCTTATGCTTTTTAACTCTTGCAAGTGTTCACCCGCTTCGGACATCTCAATTTGGAGCGCGACACGAATTTTTCATGAAAAACTCCAGATTCCGGTTTTGAATGATGGCGTGATTGAGACTGCAGCCATTTGGGGGATGTTTCCGTCAGATAAACCGCTCACGCCAGTAGGGTAATAGTTTACACTGGGAGCGTTCTTGTTCACCATGCTGACTGAAAGTATTGATGTAACTCGAAGGAAACTTGACACTGACACTCGAGCGATTCAATAACGAATAAGCTCTTAGCTGACTCATTATAGCGTTGATTATTCCTGCTTTGCTATGGAAATTCACGTTTCACTTTAACTGAGACTTTGCTTGTTGTTGTTTTAACAATCGTACTGGAAAAACTGGGGCAGAGTGACGTACTTGAAGGACAAACACAGCTCTATCATAGGACAGAAATTCACATCATCGAGACCTGATAATAATCTCGTACGGTCTGTTGGTCTTCAGTACCGATCCACTACAAACTACTCGGTAGTCTCGTTTTGCTCGAACAAATGTGTGAGTTATGAAGCGCACTTCACCCATCACCTAATCGCCTCCAAGAACCATTATTTAATCCCTTACTGCCTCTATCATTCCCACGATCAGCTCGTATGTTTGGACAACATCACCTGTTCACTTCTTTACTCACACACGTCCGAAAGTCTGAGAATACTAACAACGTATTATGTTTGCAAACTTCCGGGACATTCTTTGATGGGAGTGTGTCAAGAACAACAAACCGGTAAACCGAGTCGAATGCGCCTGTGAAATCCAGGACTGCCAAAACTGTGGGTCGTATGATGGCGCTGTTGCAGCACCTGACAAAGTGTGGAGATCTGAGCAACCCAACCTCTACCAGGCCGGAATCCTACTTGCTGCTCTCAGGTCAGTGTTTCACGAGCCACCATAAGGCGATGAAGCATAAGTGACACGAGAAGTATCGTTAAGACCGATCATCCTGTAGTTACCACACTCAATACGCGCCCCTTTTTAAAAAATGGGTTTGTTTATGACGCTCAGTATTGGCACAATGGAATTGACTGTTCGAAAGCTATTACGTGTCCCTGATGGACCAAAGCAATCAGGCAATTGAGTTCAGAGCACCAGTCCAAACTTTTGAGCCCCATTTAGGCATCCAGGGCTCTCAGCGATGCTGCGGGATTATTCCACCAGAGGTATGATTGCTTCAGTGGACAATGAAATTTGGTGAACTGCAAACATGTGGACGAAGATAAGGATGGGTTTTGGTTTGAGCACATACGCAACAAAATGCAACGTTTCGGCGCGAAAAGTTTTACTCCACTCATGAACCTTTTTCACTTAAGAGTATTGTGCGGCTAATGAGCCCCAAAAATCAAGATTTGATTATGTATTTCAAATCGTCAACCCCACAAAAAATATAAAGTTATGTGTAGTTGAAATCCAGGACTTTGGTTATAGTCTTCAATTCAATGGTCTGAGAGTGAGTGTTGTTTTCCATGTGACCTACTTGGGAATCGTGTGACCTGGTCTACGGATACGGCAACACTTGCCGGAATGCTGGGCAAAGCAGTTGTGATTCGAGTTGCGCTTATTTGCATTTTGTTATCACAGACAGATAATCATTGATCGTAACGCTGCTTCCCTTCGAAAGCAGTCTAGCTGTCCGACTGACAGAACAATGGATCGATTAGCTATTTAATACAACATCCAAAAACCATGTATCGACAGCTATAAGAGCCAAGGTATAAATCAATAGGGTAATAGGCATTTTGGTTGAAATATACTCCAGTGAAACACGAGCTTAGTCCAACAAAAAACCGGCTATAAAGCCCCGAGAACGGCACTACAGTCTAAATCCATGCAATGAGTCAGAACGCAGACAATCGTAAAAGCATGTCCAACTCGAATAATTTTTTGAATCCATCTGTCCTCATACGCCACAGGCGATGCAGCATTTAAGTAGATAGAAGGGCCTATCCTTGGGATTCTTTGGGTGACTGGAGCATCTAGACATATTTTGGGTGGACGGATTTCTGTCAGCAAACAGTATACGAACGTATGGAGATGGAGGCTCCGCTGAGGTAACTAACTATACCACTGCAAGCAGACGCAATAAATAATCGGCTCCATATAAAAATATTAGTGAGGAACAAAACACACTCACCTGAACTGATGTCATTTCACAAGCGAAATCCTGGATAATTTTAGGTGGCAGGTCTGCCATAACGTCTTCCTTCAAGCGCCTGAGCATGAATGGAAGGACAAGTCGGTGAAGCTTCTCGAGTGCTAAATGTCCTGCACCAAAGTTTCGAACAAACAGAATGGATGATGATGAGTGTATAATGAGCAACGCAAGTGAGTAGTGGAGCTTGGCAGTTCAGAGTGTAATGCATTTTGCAAATTGTACTGACATCACGAACACATTACGACCACGAAACAGCTCTACCTAATCTCTTATCGGGACTATGTCTCGAGGACAATGGCACTAAAGGGCAAAGAATGAGCATCCAAGAAAGTGATGGTAGTATTGATGTTGCAGAGAATTATGTTTCGTATACTGCTGATGGCGACTAGCGACTACAGTGGAGTCCCCAGGAAACAGCATACTGGCGTAAATCTATGAAATATCCATAAAAAGGTGCGAGAAGAACGGGCAGAAGAATCCAAACATTAGAGTGAGGACGTGCGAGCCGAAAGAAAGAAATACCGTCCTTTCGCATTTCCCCTTTTCGATTCACATGTCGAAAACCACGGGTAGAGCTGAGTAGTCGTTACGAAAATGGCAGCAAATGACGTGGTGCTGCCTAGTGTGTCTCACTGACATACGGGGTTTTTTTGCCACTTTTCTACATAACAGAGCGCAGCAAATAACGAAATGGTACACAAATTAATTCCAGAGACGGGAGAAAACATTGGATAAGGAAGAAAGTGTACAAGTTGATGCAGTGATAAACTATGATCATTTAGTTATATGGCACAAGCCCCATTGTTTCACACACAGCCTCTACTAGATTTCGATTGTCACGATTCCGTAAAACAATTTTCAAGTAGAATTCCGCTGAGCCGCAGAAAGGATTCTTATACAAACAAGAACTTCAAAAGTCCTACGTGAATTTCTATGGTCTAGGAAGACCCACAGGGACCCTGTGGGTTATGACTTTGAAACATCGTGAGTCTTTTGGCTGGTAGACAGCGTTTGCCGTTCCTCTTAAGGAGGCGCATGTTATTATTGAAGTATTCTTCAATAAAAGAAATGTTGTCGTCCATAGATTCACTTCTCAACACTTTCGCGTCACACTATAGACGGTGTAACGGATGAACAAGTGCAGAACGGGGGCCATGCTTATGCTTTTTAACTCTTGCAAGTGTTCACCCGCTTCGGACATCTCAATTTGGAGCGCGACACGAATTTTTCATGAAAAACTCCAGATTCCGGTTTTGAATGATGGCGTGATTGAGACTGCAGCCATTTGGGGGATGTTTCCGTCAGATAAACCGCTCACGCCAGTAGGGTAATAGTTTACACTGGGAGCGTTCTTGTTCACCATGCTGACTGAAAGTATTGATGTAACTCGAAGGAAACTTGACACTGACACTCGAGCGATTCAATAACGAATAAGCTCTTAGCTGACTCATTATAGCGTTGATTATTCCTGCTTTGCTATGGAAATTCACGTTTCACTTTAACTGAGACTTTGCTTGTTGTTGTTTTAACAATCGTACTGGAAAAACTGGGGCAGAGTGACGTACTTGAAGGACAAACACAGCTCTATCATAGGACAGAAATTCACATCATCGAGACCTGATAATAATCTCGTACGGTCTGTTGGTCTTCAGTACCGATCCACTACAAACTACTCGGTAGTCTCGTTTTGCTCGAACAAATGTGTGAGTTATGAAGCGCACTTCACCCATCACCTAATCGCCTCCAAGAACCATTATTTAATCCTTTACTGCCTCTATCATGCCCACGATCAGCTCGTATGTTTGGTCAACATCACCTGTTCACTTCTTTTTTACTTATCACGCGATTCAGTGAAGTTGGATATTGCACTACGCCATATTTGTGAGCAAACAGGCTGCTGGGCGTGTCAGTAGTAGTTGGCCGTAGCTCTAAGGAAATTGGCGCTCTAAGCTTTTAGCTTATGCTGTTCCTGTTGCAAATACCCACTGACAATTAGCTGCGTTCGCTTGGCTCTCAAGTGAGTGGACACCTAATGACACTCAATCAAATAAACAAGCGCTTGGCCAAATATTCAGGTTAAAGTAAAAGGCCAGACCGCTTACGTTCCACAAGATGGAGATTATGAAAACGCAACCTCAACGGCCTAAACTGGAGCGATGCGTTTCATTGGGTATCTGGTTTCTGGTTGGCGTATGCACCTGTTCGACCGAGTAGCAATAAGCATACGACCAATACCTAAGCATAGCGCTCTTGATAATGTCGAAAATCGATTAGGGCCGATGGACCCGCATCAGCCATCAAAAACGTTCGATGCCAGTGTTGTCTGATGCTGGTACATTCGGTGTCACAATGTGACTACGACTGTTGACTTCGATGACAGTATTCCTCGGATGAGACAAAACGGGAATCAAGATCACTCACGATGTGTCCCTTGTTCGTGTCCCAAATGGCTAATGTGGTTTTCACTGCCAAACAGATGAGTGACACGTGAACTCTACTATTACTATCAACGCAATACCGAGACGTTGGTTAATTGCAAAGGCCTCAGTGGGTCTGAAATTCTGCGTGATATCCTTCGGGAACGACACGGATATCAATATCCAGGTACTCGTAAAGCTTTGGGGAACATCCACATCTCATTATAGTTGCCTTATAGTAGGATGTTTGGTCATTTACACCGAAGGCTGACCAACTACATTTTATGTTCACGGAATCTCAATGTCAACGGCTCTCTTTCACTCTTATCTTGGGGTTTGTCAACATATCTGATTTCGAAACTGGATTTGCTGTGCCAGTGCTATGTTTCTTGATCTCCTCAAAGGACTACTATCACTTCTTTCGGTCACTGATGGTAATTTTCAGGTATGGTGAAACAGACAAGCTCAATAACTTGACAGTTAGAATGTGCTTTGACCGCTACTGTGACTTTTATCCGATGACCCAACCGTTTCAACACTCGTTCGCAGATCAAACTTATGTCTACCCACTACTGGATCTAACTGCATGCTGCGATGTCTCGGTAATGGTAATTTCTTAAGACGCTACGGCTCCGGTTCCGTGACATTTTTGGATAAAATTGCATTTCCCCAATGTTCACTTCGTAATTTCTGGTTTCGGTCAGGTTGCTCCAACTTCGCCTTAGTATTCAGCTGTTTACCAGGAATCACCCTTCGAGTGCATAAATCTTTTCTTTACTTGAGCATTAGATGTAATAATGCGCTTAGGAACCATCATGATGACCAGAGACAGCAAATCACCGTCGACACTGATGCTTCACTACTGTATACCCACAAAATTTATCTAGTTATATTTACGGCCTTAGAGTAAAGAGAAAAGAGCGGATGGGGGAGAGTACCCATTGCTGACCTATCGCATTCATCCTGAGGTACCTGCATCTCCGAAATTTTGGAAAATCTGACAGCACGAACGCCAGTCGCATCGAAAAGCCGCCATTTTTTTGCAATGTCTCCAGCAAAGCGCAGGAGGAACCCCATCCCACCAACAACACTCATACACTTCGTAATCTCTTACGCATTATTTTGCCAAGTCAAACGCTGTCCACTCTGAAGGGAGCACAGATAATTAATACTCGTCACGGGATACGGTGTTTCGGGACGTGTACCACATGCCCGAACCACAACACTTGATGGTGCGGTATGTTTTTCGCAACTGAAGTAACGGCTTCAAAACCGAACACCCGTTTTCTAATTACCGCGTTACGGATTCGTTGACGCCACCCAGGGGCAACCCTTCTGAAGGATCGGTGGTAAAAAACAACCTGAAGACGTCTCATATTGTCTGTATGCAGCTGCCATCTTTTGCAACCACGCAACAACACACTCCTGTTGTCTGGTAAACGCCGTTAGGAAATGAGAAATAGTCAGATAAAGTACATTAACCTAATACATATGATTACAGTGCATATGAAACTTTAAAAAACTCACTACTTATGAGCCTAATCAGTTGACAAATAAATGGATGAATCTTAAGGAGTATGCGTTCCTTAAATGCAGCCCCCTTTTCGTAGTCAGAAAAGTGGTATTTGTTGAAAGCTTGGGAGTGCTGCATTTCAAGGGAAACAGCAAAAAGAACAGTACAAACCTGCTCGCTGGTCAGCTTTCGACGCCTTCGGATCTCGACTTGCTGCAACTGGTCGGGCGAATCGAGAAGAAAAACTGGATTCACTCCCAAGAAAATCAGGCATCAGGAAGTCAAACAAGGACCACAGCTCACATACACGGTTCTGGATGGGAGTTCCAGTGAGTATCAAGCGATGTTGAGCCCGCAACTTCTTCAGAGCACGCGTCACCTAAAATAAAACAAACAAGCGAAATTTAGTATAGAAAATGAGGTGATGTGACCGTGAAGGAAATAATCATCTTTTCATGAGCCTCGCCAGCCCCTGTGACTGTTGAGTCCACTAAAATCATGCACCAAAACTACATTGTAGCTGTTCTGTAGCTTACTTCCTTGCGCTTCCAACCACACTATTGCCTGCCTCAGCAAACTTCAGTTAATGCAACTGCTCACCTGATCCGCCTGTCTTTGGAGTTTGCAGCATCTTATTTGTGTTCTAGTGCTCTAGTATTCCAGAGGAAGGTATATCGGCGAAAGCCTTCCCCGAAAGAGGTGCAAACAAGCCTTTCCGTAAAGACTTCAATCTCTTTAAAGCCTACGTTTTTGGAGCCCACGGTATATATCTGTGATGAGTGAGTTTGCCTTGTAGTCCCGGATCTCTTCTCAGCGCCAATCAGAAAGCATAGGCAAGTATTCATCTGTCGGACTCAGTATCCTATGACTGATTCCATATTCGTGCCCATTAAATCCAGAACTATGGAGGATATCGTCCAAGATTACAAGTGTGAGATATAAATTTCATCTTTCCTCCTATATCCCGAATTCAATGTTCACCTACTAAATTCACTGACCATTTTGTCCTCCCCTGAGGACTGCTACTCCTAGTAAGTTGCGAAGGCGTCCGGGAATTTAGCGACCGGTCAGTGAGTTTAGCATCCCCATAGAAAACATTAAACAAGTGGTAAGTACATGAGCTTAATTTTCATAAGTCCAGATTAGTTACGGCATAGTTATGTGTTGGCTTTCTTCATTAAAAATCAGTCTTCGCTTCAAGTAGCAAGCTAATGGGATTTGGACTTTTGCGATTTTTTTTAGAGGGAATGGATTTTGTGTTTACACTGCATGCCGTATACAACCCGTGTCATATCACATTGTCAATCTACTCCTCACACGTCATCTCCCTAATCACGACGTGATGTTGTAAACAAACGTGTTTTTGGGCATCCGAAAATATATTTCCGCATGCCTGCGCAGTTACGCTAACTTAGGGTTATAGACTGGCGATCAGTTTCCATCTCCTTTGGAACTAGCTGATAACAGATCAACTTCGATGGACAGAAATTAGTAGACTGGCGGTTGTGAGTAAAGAAAGCCGGTAAACCGGAGGCACAATGTGTGGGGACTTGATCTTTCGACAACCATGGTTGTAAAAAGCCCTGGAAAAACGGACTAGTAGGCAATTATTAGCAATGTAAATGAATCAACAATTTACCGGAAAAGCTATGCATGGGGCGCTTGGAGGATAAAAGCAGCATTCAGAAATACGCTGCAGACCAGTGCGGCCAAAGAACCATATCAAAGATCATTATAGATGTATCCGTTGGATTACAGTCGTAAAATAGTTCCACTATCAGCTTATCCAATGAGGACTTCATGTTTCATATGAATGTTATCAATAAGGAGTTACTGTTTATCCTTCCTCTGATACGACCGAGTTTACATACTTTTCGAAATCCCAGTAGAGGAGCCATAGGTTAATAGGAAACAACAAGAGTGTGCGACCAAAACCGAGACTTACTTTGGATTTGCTACTTTTGATGATATGGCCTTCGTCCAGAACGACATAGTTCCAAAATATTGACCTGAGGCGAACGCAGAGATATGAAGTTGTATCAGGACGGCGAAAATTCGTGTTCGCAACTTAATGGTAATAGATCAGAGTCACACTCGGCAATAAATGATTATAATTAACATAAGACTGGTTTCAGATGCGTAAACAACTTTTTACTTTACTAGATTAAACAGGAATTAAGACAGTCCAAACCACCAATAAAATTGAAAAGCGCTTCAGTGGTAGCATAAATGACCCTAATGCACTGTCTTCAAAATAACCCACTATTCATCAGTTTGTTGATAGCTGTCTGACGGCCCACTCCGGTGAAGGGGTTTTCAGCAATCTTATAAGTAGCATTATGCCGAGACAATTCATCATGATACCTCAAAAACCATACTAAATGAAACATGAAGCGGCATCTTCGTTAGCCGCAGCTAATTTTGCAAGTGACGGCATAATGTCAAGGCATTTGAAACTCCCAAGGCACAGACATTCAAGAATGGTGCTGTTTTGTCCACGACACTGGAGCTAACTTGAATCTGAAATAGGTGGGACTAACTATTCACCCAAATTGTTCATTCGACCGAATACTTCATATTGCGGATAAACAGAAAAACTATACGTGAAACGGAATGGGAAAAATATTACACTGTTGGACAGGGATGGATGATAGAAACAAGCACCCTAACTTACTGGAAAAACTGGATATCATTCCTTATGACATCGTACGATGCGATGACAAGATTGTACTCGAATATTCGATCTTGAAGACTGCAAAGACGGAAGAAAAATGCCGAAATCCCTTGACTACGAATGCTCCCAACATGAATTATTCAAGGACAAAACAATAGTTTCGCAGGACAAATGTCATGTAATATACCTTCATTTCGAAAACATTCTACCAGGTTCTTACAAATTCCAAGAAATCGTAAATGTTTGAAAAGTGTTTATCAGCAAGCGATTCACCGTTCGTTCATCTAGGCCATCGCAAATTTGTGTGAACCCAGATATGCATGAAATACATGATTAGATAAATTCACGGATACAAATGTAGAGGGCATCAGGAAGTGTAAACGGGAACCCAAACAGGCCAGATGTGTAGCTGTGTTAGGAATGCTCATCGTGTCCGAGCATCAAGGATTGAATGAAAACAGACTTACTGCAAGCAAGAGAGAAAACTTGAAAGCGGAAAATCAGTTCAAACCAATGACAACGAACACGAAATTCTCCGTCAGTCCAGAAAGCTATGTGCACAGTTTCCCTTTGTTAGAAAAGGACAAATCAATCTCGCTCGAAAAGTCCTATACCTGACCTACCGTAATTATTCTGGTGAGCCCACACCAAACGTAGCAAGCACCGGCTCAAGGTCTGCTCTCACCAGAGCTCATCGGCTGTGCATATCCTTGGCCTTTCCGGTGTTTGAACTCCGGACACCGCCGATGAGCACTAACGAGAGAAACTCAGGTCCAGTGCATCAATCGCTATAACTATCAGGCTGAAATTGTATTCCGGTCTGAAAGTCTGAAAGACGAACCATCTGAACTAGCTTCATCTTCAAAACTAAGCGTAGATTGACTCGCGTCATCCGTTATACGTCAAGATTCAAACAAATTTCAAGGGAAGAGCATTTCGACGTTTTGAAATGTTTGCAGGGGGAATGAGCCATTTTTGCATTTTAAGCCAGATATAGGGGAGGGAAATATATATTGATAGATAAAACCGACTATTCAGAAAAAGAACAACAATCAGCCGAGAGGGACAACACAAAAGTAAAAGAAAATGCGGCGTCTGAAATACTATAATACCTGAAGCAGACACGGGAGCATGGATCCTGATATTTTTTGGTGAATTCGGCCGATTGACAAAACTTTAAATTGACTATACAGGCACATAAACCTTCGCTACTACTGAAGCCTGTTATTGAAACGTGCCCAGGTCAAATGGTTTACCGGCCTGCTACAACCAGCCACCATACATATCAGGTCGCTATCAAGCTTAAGGATCTAACTGTTGTTAATCATCAGAAGTTCGCCCTTGTTTTCTTGGCGACAGCGCACCGTAGCAACAGAACTAATTTGTAGCTTGATGGAGGACAGTAACAAATATATTAGCATCTCTATCACATATTTGGAGGAATTACCACTACTTCTTTTCTGCAACGTTCAGTTCAAGTTCAATAATGACATATATCTGAAAAAGATAGAATTGCTGTAGAGTATTCTTTAGGTTTAGCTTGGGTAAATCCATTTCGTAAGCAAACTCGAAAATCAACAGCAAATTCATCGGGCAATTCGCACGATGTGGTCACTACATAGGAAATATGCTTATGCTTTCAGATGACGATATCAGTTGCCTTGAAGAAATTCAACTCAGTTCACCCCAATATCGAGTTTAATCTTGAATTTGAGCATAGTACCCGGCTAAATTTCCTTGGCGTTGCTATGCTGAAGAAGATTGATGAAACGATACAGTGAAACATTTACAGAGACAGGGGACAGATATACTCAGTTTGATGGCAACGTAACGTTACCACAGAGATGAAATCTAGTCGGATGCTTGGCCGAGAGATCAACAAAGATATGTCCTCCTGACTTTATTGAAGAACTAAAATTTTTAGAGCTTACGACTATGGGGCCTACAAAACAGGGAGCTCAACAGCACATTGTCAAGAGAAAAGTATCTATTGTGATGTTCCATTCAAGGACCATTCAACTGCGAAATTTGTTACTAGCATGCTTAAGTGTCGTGTTTACATGAAGGACATGGGGGTTGGCCTGTGCTTGAGTTTCATTTCAAGATGCATGTGAAAAACCAACCACCAAACTCTGCCACTAGATTCTGTGCACGATCATTCGTGTGCTGCTGTCGAGCTATACATGTTGGTCATAGGAAGAGGCTTTGGTCCGACCGCTTACCTAAGGACAATCAAGTTTCCCTGTGTGGCAGTTGGAAGAGGCCTTGCATAAGCGCAATTGTGGTACATTTGGCCGCAATCGGTCATGGCGCATGCAAGGAACGTGCTTTCCACTTCACACACAGAGTGCCCCTGAGACACTCACAGAGAGTAAGATTCAGACCGCTGTTGATTGCAGAGGCTATCGGATTTCGACTATGTAACCCAGAGCTCAAAAGAAACTGGTGCAGCCTTTGAAGTTGTCCTCCTAATCCATCATTTTGACTGTGACGTCACCCATTTAACACTCTGACCCACCAACTTGTGTGCCAATTCACTCGCCCTTTATATTTATACCGATGAATGCAAGCAATAATGCACGTGATCCACATCTACTTTAATATAGATTTGTGATGTAATAGCCAAAATGAACAATCACAAAAGACAAAGTTTGTTAGCCGCCTTTGTACTAATCATGGCATCCACAAGTATCTTCAGTTGCTATTCGACGTTCACTTACTGCGTTTGTGCCACACACTAATATGGCGCGGATCGCTCCAAAGATCCAAAGGCTACGATTGTTGTTTCAAAAAGACCTTCTGGCTACGTGATGAGCTGGACAGCTTCAGTTCAAGACATTCATGACTGTTGTTTACTTACATCTCGTTTTTTACAGACGGTCTACCAGAATATTCGCTATTGCATTTAGCTGAACACAAACAATGACGTATAACACGAGGGCTAAAATACTGACAATAGTCCACAAAATCATACATAGGTTCCCTAAAAGCGCTACTCTGACGCCTGCTACTGCCATGCGACCAGACAGGCTACAGTTCCAATGCCGTGATTTGTGGCAGTCTTTAACGACCCCCAAAAACAGCATCCTATGTGGACTGCTGCCACACAATGGCAAACTAAGAGTTCACCGAAATCTAATTGGACTTGATGGGTTATTTATTTGTGTCCTCCATCCACAAGCATCCGAAACATCATTCATTTAAACTAATAACTGCCAAATGAAAATGCTACGATAAGAAACTGCCACATGTTGAATCACCTAAACGTTGTACTGGGAGAGGAAAACTTGAACCTGATGTTATTTCTCTCAGTGCGCGGTAAAGGTCGACATCCGCAGAGTAATTATAATGGTTTAAATCTGCTTTTAATCTGACACCAATGTAAAGGAACATCGGGTGAGTTTGATAGGCTACCAGAAGTTTGGTAATCATGGTGGGTCGCATAACTCACAACGTTCAAAACTGCAGTGAGGTGAGAATAATATTCTTTCACAAAGAGTAAAACCACTCTTCGAAGAACGAAATCGTGCACTCCCTAAGAAGTTTTGAACTGGTTCTTCCGGACACAGCAAGTTCGTAAAGAGGATCCATGTGGATCCTTAAGTTACCTCCAGGGGATCAACTATAGTGCCCTTCTGGGCCGGACGCCCATCACCATCATCATCATCATTGTCAGCTGTAATAACCGCGTACTCGTCGTACAGTGGTCGTAGCTGCCGCAGTTTCGTTCACCGATGATTTGGGGGAAGAGGGAGGTAGCTGCGCATTGCAGGCGGGAGCTGACAAATTGGTGTATAAATCCAGCACTGTCAGTGGGATGTCAAGTGGAGGGGTTGGAAACGGAGCTGTGCATTGAAGGCAATAGCTTGGATGCACGAACGCCATTGATTGAGGGACTGGGCCATATCTGACAATGTCTCTAGCCATTGATGTGGCCCGTCTCGGGGTCCCCATCCAGAAAGACGGCAGTGACCAGCGCAGCTGAGTTTGCTGACAATTGCCTTCATACTTCGCTGCCAAGTCATTGTTGGACCGCCTCTGGCTCTCTCCCACTCTTCACGTGGTTGTGCAAAAAGAGCCCTTCGAGGAAGTCGGTCGACTGGCATACGCAACACGTGGCCAAGCCAGCGCAACCTATGCAATGTGATCAGTTCATTTATCGACGGCGACTTGTTTCTCCCGAATACCATTCGACATACTTCAGAATTGCTGATCCGGTGTTCCCACCAGATTCGGGCAATGCTCCGAAGACATCGATGGTCAAACACTGAAAGTCTTTTGACGTCCTCGGCGCGCAGCGGCCAGGCTTCTGATCCATATAGTAATATGGAGCGCACCGCAGCATTGTAAACTCGACCCTTGACAGAGAAACTGATGTCACGCCTACGCCACAGGTGACGTAGGTTCGCAAAAGCTGCTCTGGCCTTCCCAATCCGGAT